CGTTTGGTGATTCTGAGTATAAGGTACGCAACCCTCGTCGACACACTCCCGATCTTTACAACGTTGTTAACGAGAGACTTGTGGACGATAAATCCGACACCTCCTTGGGACAGATGGTCGCCCTCCCGGTGATAGAACAAGTTGCCGGATTCGAGGATTACCGTGTCCTCCCCCTCTCTTCGGACTTCGGATAATCCTATAATATGCCAGCGCAGCTTGTCTATCTCTTCTTCCAGCTCCACGATCTTCTCGTCAGTCCTCAGGGTGCGTGCGTTGTACGTTGCCAGGTCAAGTCGTCTAAGGTGGCAACCGAACCTCCACCGGAGATTCTTAGCACCCCCTGCCCCGCCGTTACCATGGTCGCCACCGTAGCCAGGAATAGCGGGGCCGCCGGGAACTGGGGGCCGTCTCTTTGTTACACTCATAGAGGGGGTATTTGCCATAGTTGCCACGCTTGGCGAGCGGGTTGGCAACCGCAGTTTTTTTATTATAATTTTGGCTATTATCAGGAAGATGCTGCTGCCCATCTCCTGCCTGTTTCCCTTTGTCGCCTTTTACGACACCCACGGGAGGATATGGGGTAGTGGATATTCTTGACCGCCACTACACGGCAATTTATTTGTATAGATATGTATAATCAAAGCTTGAGTGATATTAAGAAAAGCAATCGACTTATCTACGGTATTATATTGTTTTCTTCTTTAATTATATCTACGTGGTAGAACCAGGCAGCTATGTTATGGTTGTAGCACGAATGGGTCGGCTCGACCGGAGTAGAACCACGCTCTCACAGAATACCAGCGTAAAATAGCAGCTTAACGCTGCTGTGTTTCGTATGGGGGGTGTAGAGAACCGGAAACCCTTTTTACTAGAAACGAGGCATTCCATCTTGCCCTCAAGGGTGACAACGCATCTGATCTGCATTTGGATTCTTAATCGAGGATAAATGTAGATGTGTATGGGCCACTGGATCCACTTACCATCAAGTGGACTGTGTGCTCGTTTGTCACCCCCATTCTTTAAAAAAATATAAAACTTAAGCATTTAAAAATAAAGCACGTGGGCGAACAAGCTCTACTCGACTTTAGAAAAAAAAATTCTTAAAAACTTGTAAAGTAAAACATTATCTTAATACAAAATACAAGGACGCAAAATTTCATTCAAATTGTTAGAGCCGTTTACGAGAAACCACAAGTATATATACTATCACATCGTTACAGTCTGTCACGAGTCCACTGCTGAACATAGGCGCACATAGACTTATTGGGGGATTATTAGGACCCGCATTTGGCAAGCGGGTTGGCACTAGGCAGTCACAATTATTTTATTGTTCGGTTCCGTTCTCAGTAAGTCTGACAGCAGAACAATATGGTGCTGTTGATATGGAGTAGTGAATTTTATTATGTTATCCAAATAGCTAACCATGTATGATTAAAACCGAATATCTGGCAACTCTATTCCCGCGTCTTTGACACTGTATCTGGTTAGTATGCGATTTACCCATTGTTAAGATCAACAAAGATAAATGTCGTTTACAAATGAGTCGCGAAACACGAAACATATACATTCTTATGTCATACATTGCCTGTACGTATGACCACATATTGTCTGTAACGTAGACTACATAACAAACACGAACGAATAATAATATGATAATTAACGTCTAATATAATTAAGTTTGATAATAATCGATATATATATATTACAAGGTCAGTTTCCAAATAAGTTTCAGCTTCACCATCTGCAATGACTCACGTCTCAACCACACAGCAGTTGGAGACATCAAGTGAATATTAAAATGTAACGTTCCTTTATTACGTTCCATTGTCATACCTAACAATGCTGTAAGTTTTTATTAGTTTCTTATGTTCAAGAAGCGCTGTAACGCAATTTGTTTGATCAGGTTTTGGTGTTTGCAAAATAACAAGGTGTTATTCGTTAGCGAATTTAATTATTTTCTCGCATTAAAAAAACGCTTATCTTATAATCTTTAATTCTTTTATAGGATAGGGTGACAAACGAGCACACAGTCCACCTGATGGTAAGTGGTTACTGTGACCCATAGACATCTACATCTATCCTCAATAAAGACTCAGATGCGTTGTCGCCCGTGAGGACTAAGATGGAATGCCTCTTTGCCAGTAAAAAGGGTCTCCGGTTCTCTACACTCACCATACGAAACACAGCAGTTCCCCGGTCAAGCCGACCCATTCGTGCTACAACTATACTACTAATATAGCTGCAGCATGGCTCTACCACGTATGAAGACTGATTGTTTAGAGTCTCCTAATAAAATCTATATAAAATCTAATAACGACTTTTGACTAAATTTTAAATCGTCGTCTTACGTTAATAAGAGTCGCCTGTCTAAAATCTTTATACCCGTTCTTTGTTTTTATGAATAATGTCTGAGAACGTCAGCTTGATCAGCTAAAACTTTATAAAGGAATTATTAATAATTTATTTATCTACACATTAAAAGGAATCCATGAAACATGTTGTTGAGTGCCGGAACTAATTTGTGTCTGAAGTCAAGTCTTTGTTAGACAAATTTTCGGATTAGGATAGCTAAATCTAGCCCAGTTTAACCCTCAGAAACACAAGTTGGCGCGTTTATCGCTGGAACCTTTATCTACTCAATTTTAAGGCACTCTCTTTATTGCCTCAGAAATCATGAGAATCCACGGCTCCGATATATCGAGTAACGTTCGATTTCGCAGTCACTTTTTTTTTAATTTATGAGACCACTCCTGAAGCCTATTTAATTAAAAATAATCATTTAAACGGGTAGACGGAACGTCTCCAAGAAATCGGTGTAAGATCATTAAAAAAAAACATACGCGTCGAATATAGAACCTTCTCGTTTTTGAACTCGGTTACTAAACTGTGTCGGTTTAAATGTTGGAATTCGAAGCAGTTGAAATTTCAATGCTACTTGGCAAGCGGGTCATAGTTTTTAAGCAGGAAGATGTTGCTGTCTGCGGTTCAGTCACCCTCTGTCGCCTCTTAACTGTCGACTCTTCTCAACACTCACAGTCACAGCATGATGTGGGATAATGGATATTCTTACACCGCCACTACACGGTTAACCCAGAGAACAAAACTTAGTAAATTGATTTTCAACTTACATGTAAATTACCCCGCACGGCGACAGACACCGGCGTCACGAGATGACAAGAGATGACACCTGTCAAGCGTGACGGTTAAGACAAATCCCTCCACGCTCCCCGACGGGAGAGACTCATGACCCGCAAGGGACTTTTACGGAAACAAAAAAGATAGGCGCAGGTATATATTATTAGTTGATAAAGACGCCACCCTCATTTACTGCGTAGGTGTTCGTCTGAATAAATAAATCAAATCGCCTCGAATACTACTTTCACACTTGACTACAGTGATAATTCGAACACAGTTGTCAAGCTTCACTTTTTCGTAGTACTAGTATAACAATTAACGAGAGACCCTTTTTACTGAAAACTAGGCATTCCATCTTAGTCCTCATGGGTAACCACGCATCTGAATTTTGTTTATTAATCGAGGATAAATGTAGATGTCTATGGGCCACAGCATCTACTTACCATGGGACTGTGAGCTCGTCTGTCACCCTTATCCTTTAAAAAACAATACTTAGTACTTAGTAACTACTGAGGAATTTTGTACCAATGATATAACAAAATAATATGACCTACATTTTAACAGATTTTTATAAAAGAAAATTACCAGCTGAACACTGAACAGAATAACCCATTCTTCTTTTGTTTGAAAACGTCTTCGCTCGTGAGCTTGAAAAAAGACATTACATAAGTATCGTTTTGTTTGTTGGCAACCGTTTGTATTACCTATTTTCTTCTCTTTCGTAGTAGGAACTATGCTTTCTAATTCATTTGCGACGTCATACTTTCGTCGTTATAAAATATTTCGTCGTATACTTATGTTTATATAATTTTTGTTTTTGTTTGCATTTGTTACACATTGTAACAAATTCAATTATGTGTAATATTTTAGTATATTACAGTAGTTTTAATAGTACATGTTCGCATTTCGAGATCCTTATCCCTCCTTCTAATACAAATTCTTAAAAAATATCTAAATACGTAATAAAATAGGTTTATGCATTGTATATAACTTTTTTATAGTATAGGGTGACAAACGAGCACACAGTCCACCTGATGGTAAGTGGTTGCTGTGACCCATAGACATTTATCCTCAATAAAGAATTAAAATGCAGATGCGTAGTCACCCGTGAGGACTAAGATGGAATGCCTCATTTCCAGTAAAATGGGTCTCCGGTTCTCTACTCTCGCCATGCGAAACACAGCAGTGTCAAGCTGCCATTTTACGCTGGTATTCTGTGAGAGCGTGGTCCTTCCCCGGTCGAGCCGACCCATTTATGCTACAACTATACTACTAATATAGCTACAGCATGGCTCTGCCACGTATAATGATTATACGTGGTAAAAGTTATTAAGAAATTATAATACCTTTTATAATTTCTTAATCAGTTTTATTTGATTGTATTTTTATTAAAATGGATTTGCGCTAAGTAACGACTAAGTCTATTAATTAATGCTATAAAATTGATAATATTAAAAACATGGTAGTATTTACTTTAAAAAATATAAAAAATTACATGTTATAACATATCATGTTTTCGATTGTAGTAAGACAAAATAATATCTACTTTTTTGTATATTTAGCTCAGAGTGGTCGGAATTGAAATATATTTTTTATTAAATCCATTCACTGTATTGTGATAAAGATCATTCGGCATGTACAGCTCACTGCACAATGCATTGAAATATATGTACCTATTATGTTTTCGGTTTGCAATTGCTATTGTTTGTAGTTTTAATTATTTCATTCAACGCTATGTTTGAAGATTATTATACTCGAAATTTTTACCTTTTTGTTTGAGTATTATGTAAGGGATATTTTCGTTTAGAGTACAAATTTTAATCAAGATTTTTTTTTGTTTCAGTTATCACAAGGGTAATGCTGCAATGTCGACGCGCGCGGTGAGGGCGGCGCTGCTCTGCGCATGCGCATTGCTCTTGCAATACGGTACGTAACTAAACGTTCCAACAATACTATAAATAATAAAAAGTAACCAAAAAAACGAATAAATAAGCAATAAAATGAGACTGTTGGTCGCCTTACTCTTTAATGAGTATTAAGGGTGCGTTTCCTTCAGAGATGTGCGAGACACTAAGCGGTGCGAGGCGGCCTAGAGCCTGTGTTTCTGAGTGCTGCGTGGTGCAAGGATGTGTATCGGACTATTTGCGTTAATACTATGCGAGAATTTCTATTGACTGGTAGTCTACTGGCTCGCTTATCCACTCCGCCTCGCATACATTCGTCGCACGCCTCCCTCGCTTGCGTCCCTCGCTCACACCTCTAGCTTGTTTTGTATGTGCAAAGATCTCACTCCGCTATGCCCTTTTCATCAAGTGGTAAAATTAAAAAAATCTACAACCGAAAGGATAACTCAAAAACTAATAGGCAAACCTTAATCAAATTTATATGGGACTACATGAGAAGCACCAGCTTTCAAAAAAAAAAAGAATCATCGAATTCGGTTCACCAGGAAAAAGTTATGAGGTAACACATAAAAAAAGAACATACAGTCGAATTGAATACCGCCTCATTTTGAAGTCGGTAGAAAATGGAGTAATCCTTTTAGGGGTTTATTTCTCGCGTACCGCTTAGCTACCTCAAACAGCTTTGGTGGAAATGCAGCTTAATATATACATTATATTTTATATAATAAAGTCTGTTGGAATAAAGTTAAGAACAGAAACTTGAAAATAAAATTTTTTGTTGTCTTTCTTTTGTCAGTTTGTATAAGTTTTTGGTGCTTAATACTAAATAAAGGATATTTTTTAAAGTACCCGAGCAACCCGGGTTCGATTCCTGCCAGCACCAATGAAATTGTTAATTGCAATTTTATGATTTACCACGTGCTCGGCGGTGAAGGAAAACATCGTGAGGAAACCTGCATGTCAGAAATAATAACAAAAAATATTTCGAAGTCATGTGAAGTTCGCCAACACGCATTGGGGCAGCGCGGCGGACATTTCCTTGTCCCGAAACCCTCTCAGAAATGAGAGGAGGTCTGTGCCCAGCAGTGGGACGTATATAGGTTATAATTTTAAAGGCAACAAATAAAATATTGATCAATAAACAAGATTGCTATCTGCTAGGGAATCACTTGTAGGATAATTTCCATTCATAGAATTTTCCTTTGCAGCTAGTGCCGAGCTCAGAGGAAGATGTCCGGCGGAGGAGGCCGCGTGTCCGGCGCGTGCGACCCCCTGCAACGCGGACGACGAATGTGGCGAGCAAATTTGCTGTAACACTGCATGTGGCCGTGCCTGTATCGATCCATTGTTCACCGGTGAGTAATTAGGAAATTACTTACAACAATTTCTTAGAGGAAGCCCTGTTTGCGTATCAAATATCGACTGGGAGCAGCATCTAAGGTGGCCTGGTACTGCGATGGGTAATCTGCCTGCAGAGCGAGACGACAAATCCATTATTTAACGAGCAGGCAATTATCTAGCAGAGCACTTTTATGAGTTGATGAAGGGGAAGAAATACAAATAAGACGTATACGCGACGAATACAAATAATACACTAAAATTGTACATGGTAGAGCCATGCTGCAGCTATATTAGTGGTATAGTTGTAGCACGAATGGGTCGGCCTGACCGGGGAAGGACCACGCTCTCGCAGAATACCAGCGTAAAATGGCAGCTTGACACTGCTGTGTTTCGTACGGTGAGTGTAGAGAACCGGAGACCCATTTTACTGGAAAAGAGGCATTCCATCTTAGTCCTCACGGGTGGCGACGCATCTGCATTTTGATTCTTTATTGAGGATAAATTTAGATGTCTATGGGTCACAGCAACCGCTTACCATCAGGTGGACTGTGTGCTCGTTTGTCACCCTATCCTATAAAAAAAGACGAATATTTAGACAAAAATACTGTGACGTCATTAAACTATATTCTAACTAAATTCCACAGCAGTAACTGTGTTTGTATTTAACTTAAAATATTCGTTATTTTGTTGGTTGGTAATCTGATGATTGAAAATCACAGTTAACTACTAAGATAGAGTATACAGAGATCAGTGTATGTATAGCATCAGCAATCCATCCTGCCGTATGTAAAATATTATCTTTAACATTACAATAGGAGATCTGATTGATTATTCCAAATGGAAAATCATTTATTGTAAGCAAAATATTTGGACATTTGTTATGTCAAAACTTAAAATAGTTAATTTACCTGCATAAGAAAAATAGGACAGCGTGATAAACGTGTTTTTACTAAATCCATTGCTAATAAATAAATATATTTAGGTTGTGAAAACATCAAAATGTCATCGGAGCGCATATCGCGGGCCCTGGCAGCGGAGAATAGCCGTGGTGGCAGAGGTGCGTTCCGCAGCGTGCGGACGCCGCGTTGCAGGATGTCGGACGGCGAGTTCGAGGAGGTGCAATGCGACAACGAGATCGTCAGCGCCTGCTGGTGCGTGGACGCGACAGGGTTTGAGGTGAGATTATTCGTATAGATGGATCGGTTTGTCAGCCGTATGATTTAGTAGAATTAGTGCCGATTTTTCAATGCTCATTAAAATTTATTCATAGGATAAAATACATAAACAAATTAAAATTTACAGTTGTATGAATAAAATTGTTCAATTGTTTTACTTCTTTATTCAGTCAGGTTATAATTTATTTCATGTATTAGTTTTATATGACGATTGATAAATCAGCCTTTTTAAGATAACTTTATTCGTCCGCTGTCAACCGAGTTTCATAAAGTTGTTGTAATGTTGACAATTTAAAAAAAGGCAAGTATTTTTTCTCGGGATATTTTCTTCAGTCAGTGGAACAGGTAACTTTTTCCACAAGTGTAAGGTCTCAAATTTATTAAATCTGTAAATTTCTTATTCAATGAGATTATTTTATTGACTGCTAACAATATGAAGGTTCTAAGTTACTTAGCTGCCGGTTATTATTTTTTTTCTCATTCAATGTCTTATCTTTTAAATACGTACATACTATTGTGCGTTTTCACGTTTGTAACTTAGTAGTGTTAATCAAAGTAAGTGCACCGTGTAGTGACGGCGTTAAAGAATTCGCTACCCTTATTATCCCGTATATATGTATACCATCTCTTTCACCCATATTCTTCCTGATAAAAACTCAAAGTAATAAGCAAACTGTACGAGACAATCTACGTAATCACAACGCTTCGGAGTCGAGGATTTATGATACTTTCGCGCTTTCTAGAAATCTAAACGATATAATATGAATAAAACTACTTTTACGGATTTTATCGTGTTTTAATTAACTTATTTTTCTTATTGTTATTAATTCCCGACGTTTCGGGTGCTTTACAACACCCATGGTCACGGGGGACTGACTGAACGTCTGGAATTAATAAAAATAAGAATAATAAATTAATTAAAACGCGATAAAATCCGTAAAAGTACGAGTATGTAGTTTTTCAATGTGTAGTGTTCGCGTGAATATAAGAAATCATGATATAATATGATCTAAGTGTATGTATAGTATGTAACAGTAACTCTTTCAATCTTTATTGTTCGATAGACGACACATACCACAAGGAGCTTATTAGCTATGATGGTTCCGTGGCGCGGTGGCTTAGCTTATTTGCGGTGTTTTGTTGTTCCGGATCTGGGTGTTTTTCTTTACGAAATTTATGTATGTAAACTGCTTTTAAATAAATATGTATGTAAACTATTTAAATATATTAACTGCCCCCACGATCCAGGAGAAAATCCTAGTTTGGAGTATTGAAGTAATATGCACTAAGTACTTGAAGAGACGCCGAGATTTGGTTGTTTGCAACACGCGTTAGTGGCCTTGGGTTCAAACTTACTTAGTCCGTGCCATAAAAAGGTACTCTGCTCTGCCTCTGACCACGCGCCCCGTACTGCTGCACTGATTTTGGTCGCGTTCGCGGCATCTATTCTAGTACCTACATTGTACCTACATATTACGTCAATTTTGTTTCTTTCTTTTTTATTAATTTTTTAAAACGTTACTTTCACACAAGGATTTTCTCCTGAATCGTGGGGGTAATTTACATACATAAATTTCACAAGGACAAACATCCAGACCGAAACAATTATTTGTAAATTATTATGCAATTTATAAGTCCCGCTGGGTTTCTTGCTGGTTCTTCCCAGGACAGAGGTATTTTCCGAACCAGAGGTAAATAAAAAAATTACTTCCAATAAGTATTATTTAATAATCAATATTGAATAAAAATCATTCTCTTCTATTCTGTAGGCCTTACAAATATTTATTACGCGCGGGATTCGAACGCGGCCCTTTTCGCTGCAACTCATTGCTAAGCCACTGCGTCACGGAGCCGTCTGAATCAATGATTTGGGGAAACGTTTTTTAAAAAAATCTTTCATGAAATATGATGTCTCTCTCTATCTCCAGGGCGTCTGTGACGACCAACTTTTTTTTAAATAAAAAATAATGATCATCATAGATCCCGGGCACGCGTGCGCCGGCCGCCTCGCTGGTGAACTGCACGCGCACGGCGGCGTGCGCGGCGCACACGTGCCGCATGCTGTGCCCGCTCGGCTTCGAGCTGGACGAGCGCGGCTGCCCGCTGTGTAAGTGCCGCGACCCCTGCGCTGGTATCACCTGCCCCGGACACCTGGACTGCCAGCTCGAGGAGACGCCCTGTCTACGCCCGCCCTGTCCGCCCGTACCCACGTGTGAGTGTTCACGATCTTTGCTTAATGTTATGGATTTTATTTTACATTCATTATTCACGTGTATACGTGGTAGAGCCTACCAACGTAAAATAGCAGCTTAATGTTGCTGATAAATGTATATGGGCCCACAGCATCCACTTACCATCATGTGAACTGTGTCATTTTTCACCCTTATTCTATAAAAAAATGTAAGCTCCAGACCACTTTGAGTATAGTCTGTTCGGCAAGAGTTGATAAAAAGCAGAGTTTCTAAACACATTACAAATTGCGGCCCGCTAATTATTTTTGCTCATAGAGGGCCAGCCGGCCTGGCGCTTGACGACATCTGCGAGCCTCGTTCCACAAAACTCCGTGCTCGCAGCGATAAGCGACGCCCTTGTTACACATATTATTTACTTTAGCGACAGACGCTATTGCAAGACGTTTTCATAATATATTTATCATAGCCGAATAGAGCCTGATAATATGCTATAACCTATGTTTTATAAATTAATAAACAGTCCACAGGGATAAATACGAAAAATATTTTTTTTCTTTAACGACGGCAAATGTTATCTGTATGCCACAGTATCCACTAACTTGGTTCGAGCGTTTGCTGGATAGTTACTGTTACTGTTACACCTTTGTCACCCTTACTTATATAAAAAGAGGCTACTCCTTAACGATGGAACCTGGTGGTTAACAGTGAATGGTAAACTGCACTAGACAAGAAAAAAATTACTAATTACTTACTAATTGCCTGCCAATAAACGGTTAAAGCTGCCCAAAAACTAGCATTATAGTGAGTTTATGCTCAGAATCTAAATGCTGAATATGCCGAATATTACCGCCTCAAAATGCATTGATTGTATTTAGGGTTGCCACCCTCTTTTGAGTAAATAAAGTATTATAAAGTTTTCTAAGCCAAAAAAAAAATTCGACAAGTGAAAATAAAGTATTATTTATTCTTATATAACTCCTTGTGTATATAATTCGTTCTTTTAGTAAACATTAAAGTAAAACCTTGAAAAAAGTAAACATAGGTAAAATAAATTATTTTTACGTAAGTACTTTATTTATGTAATAAAGTAAAAAGTACGTTTGCCCGAAATAGCGAACAATACTTTATTATAAAGTACGGGTGGCAACCCTAATTATATTTCACGCAATTAACGGTCGATAAAATTGAGTACTAGGTGATAGGGCTACCTCTATACATACATAATATATTATGCATACATACATAGAGGTCTAAATTATAAAAAGCATGTTATAAAGAGTATGAGCAGCACATCCACCAAAGTAGAATACTCGTAAAATCCAATATTTTTGTTTTAAACGATCTCCAGGTAAACGAGGCAGGAGTCTTCAAAACATATGCCCAGTTGGGGAACCACTTCTTATATCGGAGACGAACCGGCCGTTCCTCTGTGGCACAGACCCCGGCAAGCCAAACTGTCCGCCGCTTTACAAATGTCTCGTGGACTCAGGTATTAATAGTTTTATATTAATTTATTACCCTTTTTACGCTGTTAAATATACTATCTAATGTTCTTTCTAGACACTTTTTCTTATAATGATTTTTTTTTTGATCATGTCGGCCATATTTTACATTTTTTTACATTCTATACTGACGTCATATTACTGTCTATGATACCATTATGACAAATCGATTATCAGTCACCCGAAGAGCACATCAAGTTTTCGGGGGAGTGGGAAGGGGGTAACTCGGTGCCTCCAAATGGGCCCGGTACCTAAAAGGCAATCAGTTAACAGGCCTGTCACTTAGATCTACTGTTAACAAGCTGTCAAACAAATGACAAGAAAATCCAATCAGTCCATCACCGACAAAATGGCGGGAGCTTTTGTGTTCACATATTTGCAAATATTTAGACATAAGTATACGTAGTTTTGCGTATGAAGTGAAGACTGCTTTGAATGAAAGCTACTAAAACAAAAAACGGTATCGAAAAACATGTTTGAACTTTTTAATGTTTAAAGTTACCACGTTTTTATTACTCGCTTTCGTGTACATATCTGTTCGGGTTGAAATTAGTAATAAATAATAAATAGTAAACTTCCCTCCCGATGAGAACGAAAAGAGCTCATTTTGAACATAGCTCAGAATTGGATGCCAATGAAAGAATATGAACAAAAAAAAAACAAAAACGAAAATTTTTTGTCCGTTGTAAAAACGTTGATTTTAAATGTTTATTTTTTATTCCGAGATTAAAAGTTCCAAAAGAAAAAAAATCTTTAGTTGATTATTATTAAAATGTTAATATTTTTCTTAAATTTATAATTAGTTAAAGGACAATATATTATATATTATGTATGTACCTATGTGACGATAATTTATTAACAAGCTAACAAACATTTATTTAAGAAGAATACACATAATATGCAAATCATAAACAAATTAAATCTAACTTTACTTATCGCACCTTTAAGTTTTTCGTAACAATTTAACTTGCTTAAACTCATATTAGAGACCCTACATTTTGTACTGATTTTTACGACGTTTTAAAAACGTAGTATTACATAATTTTTTTTATACTATTAACTAAATATAGATTAACTATTCCGTTACATCCATTACAGCCTATAATAGTGCACTGCTGAACATAGGCCTCTTGTTTCAGTTTCCCTCTGTCGCCTCTTACGACACCCACGGGACGATATGGGGCAGTGGATATTCTTACAACGCCACTACACTCTTATTAACTGTTATTGTTTTTATAGTTACGTCACCGCCGGTATACCGATCAGTCATAACTAATCGGTAATCGGTTATTGTCTAAGCGCTTACCTAATGCATGTTGCCAAAACAATGATAGACAAATGGCCGTCGACGCCACTGACCACTTAAGTGAAGTTGTTGCTAAATCGATTTCGCATTGCGATGTAAAACTACAATGAGTTTAACGTCCGTTTGTTTGTCCATTGTTTCAGAATATTAAGTCCATCAATTGAAACTCTTCCTTCGTCGTTATAGGTATCGCACTGATCTCATAGTTCGGATGCTTTTTATATTCTATCGCGTAACAGTTATCAATTTATTAAATTAACAGTCTTGTGTAACAATTTGTTTTATGGTTTATTCTTACTCAGTGAGTAAGAACGCTTTTCCTACGTTCTTCTACCTTAGATACTGATCAATACTTTTTCATTTATGACAACCTATCAAACCTTCACTGCTGAACATAAGCCTCCCCCGTAGATTGCCCCATGGGGGAGGGGGACTTCATTGTTGCCATGCTGAGCAGGGGGATTAGCAATTGAATTTATTTATTGTTTTGAGTTGTTATCCGGGTGATGCTGTTTCATTTGTCTTTCATTCAAAAGCCGATTGATGTTATTTCATCTGTCGCCTTGATTAATCCCACGATGACGAATTATATATGATAGTAGATTCTCTTAGAGCGCTTCTATATGGCGATTCGATCGGCGATTACTTTTAAATAGTAAACTTGCAGCCCCATAGATCCCACTACTAGACACAGGCCTCCATACTGAGAGGATTGTGGAGAACGTTACTCAGTTTCTCTATTGTGTGTTGACGGAACTTTACATCTCATAGATCAATGGTGCTGGCGGTGATCAAATTCTGTTTGCGACTATCTTAAAAATACCATGGTTCCTTAAATATAGTACATTAGCAAAGAATAAGAAGATAGAAAAACGGAAGTCGGAGTGCATAAAACAAACCTTTTATTTATATATTTAATAAACTTACAATTTAAATATATTAAACATTTGAATATAAAATTCTTACTACTTACTTTTTATAAATAAATTAGTTTCTTCCGCCAATCAGCAGTATCCACACTGCTATGTTTCGGTGTGGGAGAATAAAAGTCTATGAGGCATTCTGTTTTAGTGCAGAAGTCTCTTTAAATAAGTTGACCAATGAATATAATTTAACTAGACCGTAAAGTCCACGCAGACGGGCAAACTACTTTTATTAAGTTAATTAGTTATTAAGTGTGTTAATAGCTGTATTTATATATTCAGATATATCAGATGTAACTTCAAATTTTCTATTAATATTTTAAATTTTACTATGATCTACTAACAGACTAACAGTGCTATCGATAGGTAATTAATACTGTTATGTTATTAAATAACTGTTTTTAAAATAACACACATTTATTCGAAGGCAACGACTACGGCGTGTGCTGCCCAGCGTCCCTAGACCTTCAGAAAGCCGGCACGTGCCCGGTCCCCAGTAACAATACGGAGGAACTTGATTGCGGGACGCCCTGCGCGCACGACCTGGAATGTCCGTCGATGCAGAAGTGCTGCGAGGGCGGCGAGTGCGGGCGGCACTGCACGCTGCCGCACAACGTGACGCTGTGCACGCAACAGCGGATGCTGGCCGAGCTGCTGGTGGTCAGCGAGCGGGAGGGCAGGGGCTACGTGCCGCAGTGCGCGCCAGACGGCTCCTTCGTCACCAAGCAGTGCTCGAGAAATGGACTGGTTTGTTGGTGAGCGATTTCAATCTAACTTATCTGAGCCTTAGATTCGATTTGGAAATTGCCAGAAAACTTTGCAACGATACTTTAAATATCTAAATATATTATACAATAGTTATACAATATACATACATATGTATGATATATGTATATTCCTTTTTATCTCCTGTTTTATCACATCTACCCCGGTCATTCTTCCTCCAATCCTGTCAATTCATTGGTTGTCTGGAAGAAATTGCTGTCAGCAATAAGACCGTCCATTGCCATCCTTTTGTATATATAATATTAAATAAATTACTTCTATTTTTTTTTCTTTTAAGCCTTTTTATTTTTATTCATTGATGTACATAATATGTTAGCCTTTCCAAGAATGAGTCGAATGACGCATTTATTGGAATTCTGTGGATTTGACACCATTACCAGACTGACACTTATCTAGTTTTGCAGCAAAGCAGTACTGCGCTCAGCAAAGGTAGGAGAGTTAATATACAACCTGTGAGGCATTTTCATGTAAGTCTTCATTGGAGACCGAGCAGTTTTACTTTACTCACAGCACAGCTTTCTTTGTTTGAAGTGTGCTCTGGAGTTGGCACCGATTTTTACTCCTGTGCTCCCACTCCCTAGGCGTAGTCTCGAACCCATGGAAGACAGCTTTGCTGCACCCGATCCCTAAAAAAAGGTGACCGCTTAGATCTGTCCAACTACAGGCCTATCGCTATCACCTCCTTGTTCTCCAAAGTAATGGAAATTATTATTAACTACCATCTCATGCGGTACCTTGAGGATCATCACCTGATTAGTGACCACCAATACGGTTTCCGTCGAGGTCGCTAAGCTGGTGACCTTCTATGTTACCTAACTCAGAGATGGGCGGAGGCAGTGGAGTCCAAGCGGGAGGCGTTGGCCGTTAGTTTGGACATGGCGAAGGCCTTCGATCGGGTTGGGCACAAAGCGCTTCTTTCGAAGCTCTCTTCCTATGGGCTTCCCGAGAAATTGTGCAATTGGATCACCAGTTTTCTTGCAGATCGGAGCATCAAGGTCGTAGTAGACGGTGTATGCTCCGATCACAAGCCCATTATTGCTGGTGTTCCACAAGGCTGCGTGCTATCACCAACGCTATTTCTTCTGCATATCAATAATATGTTGCAAACCGGTAACATTAATTATTATGCAGACGACAGCACTGATGATGCTTTATACACCGGCCGTGCCAATGTTTCGCGGGAAAACGTTGCCGATTACCGGAATAAACTTGTGTCTGAAGTCGAGAATTTGTTGAACAAAGTCTCAGACTGGGGGCGACTAAATCTAGTCCACGTCTATCCACAATACAAAACATATATAATATAAACACAGGTTTACCGCAAAAGAGAACCTCTTTGTCGTATCTCCTCAATTTCAAGTGAAGGAGTGCCCCTTGTTGCCTCAGCCAGTATCGGAATCCTTGGTGTCGACATATCGAGTAACGTGCAGTTTCGAGGTCACTTGGAAGAGAAGGCCAAATTGGCCTCAAAAAAGCTTGACGTACTAAGAAACTTTACAAGGCGCAGGTTCGGCCTCACATGGAATACTATTCCCATCTCTGGACAGGGGCTCCCTAGTGCCAGCTCCTTCCACTTGAGCGCATCCAGCGCAGAGCGGTTCGAATCGTCGGCTACCGAGTTCTTTCCGATCGGCTCGATACACTGGCACTGCGTATTTTATCGCATTTACCACTAGGAGTGCTCTAAGGAATTGTTCGAACTAATTGCAGCCGCACAATTTCATCATCGCACATCGCGACAAAACTCGCGATACCATCCATACTCATCATATATACTTTGTGGGTAGTTATATGTTATGTACTCCTAGTATAAATTAATTTACTTGTGTTACATTTATGTGTGAATGTTTTTGCCCCAATAAAATGAAATAAAAAATAAAAATGTGTTGAATTCACATGCGGTGGAAGTGAAACTTTCAGAAAAGGAGAACGATATCATAGAAAACAGTGTATACTGTTTTCCATCTCAGTCTCTCGCCGATTAAATCCCGACGATTTATATATTTATCTCTTTTCTGCCGACTTCCAAAAAGGAGCCGGTACTCAATTCGACTGTATGTTTTTTTTTTGGTTTTTTTTTATGTGTGTTACCTCAGAACTTTTTTCTGGGTGAACCGATTTCGATGATTCTTTTTTTATTTGAAAGCTGGTACTTCTCGTGTGGTCCCATATGAATTTGATCAAGGTCAGACCAATAGTTTTTAAGTTATTCTTAAATAACTTATATTGAAGTCGGCTGTACAAAATTTTTAATTTTAAATTATTAGTGTTACTTTTTCGTTTCCATCGAGTATCAAATTAAACACTAACTCCGTCCCTATCACGCGCAGGTGCGTAGACAACGAGGGCAACAAGGTGCGCGGCTCGATGGGCCCGGCGGAGTCGGTGCAGTGCACGGCGACGCGCGCGGCTCGCACGCGGCCGCGCTCGCTCGCGGAGTGCGCGCGCTCGCTGTGCGCCAGCGTGTGCGAGTACGGCTACCGCAGCGCGGACGACGGCTGCCCCAGCTGCGAGTGCGACGACCCGTGCGAGGGCTTCCCCTGCCCCGACGATCACGAGTGCGTGCGCGTCAAGGACTCCGACTGTACCGGCGACCTGTGCAACGGTTATCCAGTGTGTGAGTATCATTTTCATTACTCAAAAATGTAGGAGTGCGATTGTACAGGCAAGCATTACCTACTCAAGTATGAAGGTTAACGTCACAAACAAGTTATCGCGACAAAACTCGCGATAACTTGTTTGTGACGAATTTACGTGGGTCAGACTGGTCGCAATTTCGAGACACGTTATAAAGAGCATTTAGCCGCGTACAGGAATTGCAATCCCGATAAATCCCATTTTGCCAAACATCTTTTGGACATTGGACACAACCTAGCCAACGACCACTCCTTTAAAGTCTTACATACGTGTAATAGAGGGCTGCGGCTGTGTGTGCTGGAACAGTTAGAGATATTAAAAAGTAATAATAATACCGTTGCACTGCTGAATGAACAAACAAATGTTACTAACTCACCTCTCTTAAATATCTTTAAGCCTGCTCTCTAATAATAGAGAGCCTCGCAATATGGTCGTTTGTCACCCTCACGGTGATCGGCGATTGGTTGCGTGGTTGGAGGGTGGGCGTTGCGCGGTGGTTTGTTTTTAATTTTACAAACGGCTGCGTAAGTCCAGCGGTGATTGGTCGCATGTTTTATTGCATGACGCAGTCGCTCGCTCCTTATGTAGAAAGCGGTTACGTCATCGGTCTATATAAAAGGCACTTGCTTTGGCTCGCCGCTCACTTAGCGGTTAGCCACCGTAGAGTCTATATCACCTGAGGATGCCTCGTGTAGAGGCGAAACACGTGTCGTATTATCGTCAGTGGTGTGTCTTGCCTAGTGTAGTGGTGCTGGGAGTAGCGGTGCTGGGATTAGTGGTGACAGGGATAGTGCACGCAATTGAGGGAGGGCGGGAGGTGCTTTTCATTCTAGGTAAGACACATCATTTTATTTTATAACGCGGATATTTGCGAAGTAAATTTTTCTAAAAGCTTTTAAATAGTAGTTTGTATAACTTAAGCGGTAATTGCAGGTCGTCCGCGGGTGTCGTACGATAACCCGTGCAGCGTGGGCACGCCGGCCGCTGACGAGGCAGGCGGCGTGCTGCGCTGCGAGTTGCGCGCGGACTGCCCCGCCGGACACGCGTGCGTGCACGTGCGCCGCGCGGCAGCTGTCTGCTGCCCCGACAACTACACCGACACAGACAACGACACCGACACCGACCTCGCAACCGACACCGACCTCGCCAGCGACACCGACCTCGCCGAGGTGAGCTATATGTTGCCAAACAACAAGAAACACGGAGCGCTGCTTACATTTCAAGTTTTGCAAAAACCCTCAACCAAATCAATCAACCCAATGACTACCCGGGCACGCTGATTTTTCAGTTCTTATTGATGTGTAACGTCTTTCCTCTCGCTTTCTCACAATCTGTGCTAGTGATTTCGTGAAAATGGACGGAAGTGCGTTCCGGGAAGCCGCGGAAAAGCGCGCTATTTGATTTGACCAATGAGGGCAAGCCGTGAAAGCGCACGCTATTTGATTTGACCAATGAGCGCGCGCGATGGTTGAGAGTTATGTATCCCTTTCTATTATTAAAACTTACTTATCTTCACGCACAATCCCTGACGGGGTAGCCAGAGAGAACAGATCGCCAAGTGTCACGATCCTTACAAACCTCTTTCGCTTCTTTCAGATTCATTATCTTCTTCATACATGCACGTCTAGGTATCCGAGTAATCTTGACCCTACCCTCTTCGAGCAATTTGCTCACATGGTCTTCGAAAGTTAGTCTCGGTCTACCTCGACACCTTTTAATATTAACTTTCGCGCTATATATTTTCTTCACCATTCGGTCTTCACTCATTCGCTCAACGTGCCCAAACCACCGAAGCACGCCCTTATCAATTTTTGTGATAAGGTCATCTTTCAAACCTGCCATATTGCGAATCTCTTCGTTTCGCTTTCGATCGGCCATTGTAACGCCGCACATTTTACGAAGAGATCGCATCTCCACTGCATTCAACTTGCTTTTATGCTTCTTCTGGCATACCCAGGTTTGGATGCCATATAACAAAGTCGGTACCAACACTGCGTTATGTATTGCAAGGCGTGCACTCTTCACTACGCCTTGCCTTTTGACTAACGCAGACAGGGCACCATTGAATTTGTTCCCGGCAGCGACACGCCTGTCCACATCTAAATCACATCTTCCATCCCGGCTAAAAGCACTCCCCAAGTATACAATTTCATTTACCTGTTCTAGACATTCCTGATTTACCCATATTTCACACTTCGTTCTCTCTTCGTCCCTTTCAAATACCAGAACCTTAGTTTTATTAGCATTCAAACGGAGACCTTTAATTTCACATTCCTTTTTCATACACGTGACTAATGCCCGCAGTTCTGCCTCTGATGGTGCAATAAGCACTGCATCATCAGCATACAGCAGACAATTTACTTTTATGTCACCCAATTTCACACCCAAACAGCTATCTTTCAGCTTCTGTAAACAGATGTCGAGATACAGTATGAACAGCCAGGAAGACATGACACAACCCTGCTTTACGCCCGTTTGGACACTAAACATGGATGACAGGTGATGCACTACCCGCACACAGGCTTTACAGTAACAGTAAAGAGACTGCACAGCCCTTAGCAATCGACCATCCACACCATACCCCGGCAACAGTTCCCACATTTTTTTCCTTACAACCTTATCAAATGCTTTCTCAAGATCCACAAAAGCACAGAAAATCTTCTGATTAGCAGTCAGAAGCTTCTCCGTGATCATGCGGAGAGAAAACATTTGATCCGTGCATCCTCTTCCAGGTCTAAAGCCGCATTGTGCCTCCCATAGAAATCTTTCCGATTTCTCTTGCATCCTACGTGTCAAAACCTTCGAGTAAACTTTACTTGCCAAACTGGTCAAGCTGATCGCCCGATAGCACCCACAGTCAAAATGTGAACCTTTACCTTTATATAAAGGCACAATGACTGCGGATCGCCAATCATCCGGAACGTCCCCCGTCCGCCAGCACAAATTGCACAGCAGATGAAAGCTGTCCCAGACGCGAGGCCCACCATACTTGACCATTTCAGCAGTAACTCTGTCTAGTCCCGCAGCCTTACCACATTTCAAACTTCGAATCGCATGTTCAATCTCTTTCATACTGATGATCCTCAGTGTCATCGAGGTCCGGGTCTGGCGTACCAGTCTCGGCGTCATCCCCGGATCCCTCACTTATTTTAATTTTAATTAAAAAAAAAAACAATATTTTATATAGCTACAATAACTAAAAAGTTTCTAGAACATTAATACAGGTTTACACATTTCTCTTATAGAATTTTGCTCATATCTTCTAAACCGGTTATTCGATTTTCATAGTTCCCATTGGATTATTAGTAAAAAATCCTACTATTAACCATTATATGCGACTACTGTAAGGCACTCTCTTTTTCTTTAAACTCTTAAATTCATAATCACTTTACGAAATGCAGCAGTTAGTATTAGATAGCATGCTAGTATTCTGTATGAAAATATTCCTTCCTCAATTGAGCCGAAAAGCGTATTGAGTGTATATATGGGGGCTTCAGCGAAATACCTAGGAAAGCTTTTGACAATGCTGACGATAGATGTCGGAATAACCATATCAAATAAATATCCAAATCCATGACGATGTAGCTTACGGTACCTACTGATATAATCAATCAGCTTACAAAGAATGACGATTAAGACCATGTCACAAAGAAAAAGGGCCTATATCCAGCAAAGGACGATACCAGCTGACAAAGAACAGTCAAAGTTAAAGTTATAGCCTTTATACGTTAGAGGGTATTTGGAGCAAATTATAATAACAAGATTGTATTTTACTCTTAAATGTTTCTAACATAGCTCCAATAAGGTACCAGGCGATTAGAACCTTTAAACTACCCATTTGTTATATTTGGTAAAGAAAAAGAGTTCAAGTTATACAGCCTACGTATACCTCCTACTGCTGGGCACTGACCCACTCTCTTTTTTTTTTTTTATAGGACAAGGGTGACAAACGAGCACACAGTCCACCTGATGGTAAGTGGTTTCTGCGGCCCATAGACATCTACATACATCCTCTCTTACAAGTCAAAATGTAGATGCGTTGTCACCCGTGAGGACTAAGATGGAATACCTCATTTCCAGTAAAAAGGGCCTCCGGCCACCTGCACTCACCAAGCGAAACGCAGAGGTAAACCTCTACTTCACGCTGGTTTTCTGTGAGGTCGTGGTACCACCCCGGTTCGAGCCGGCCCATCCGTGCGACAGCAAAAGCTGCCGCGTGGCTCTACCACTGTTCATTTCTGAGAGAGATTTTAGAGCAAAGAAGGAGAACAGGACCGTATTTTATAAACTGTCCATTTTTTTATACCATAGCTCCAATACGATACCAGGAGATTAGAAACTTTAAACTAGTTATTTGTTTTATTTCCAGATCAGTTTCGAATCATGCGGCTCGGACGTGGAGGCGGTCTGCGATCTGAATTCGACCAGGAGTTGTCCAGACGGAATGTGTGGGGACGAGTTCGTGTGCTGCTCCACTGCGACGTGCGGACCAGTTTGTGTGGACCCCGCCAAATTGCGCCTACAGACCGACCGGGTTGATAATACTCCTACAAGTAAGTAAAATTCTTCTGCCGTTGAAGCAATTACTGAAGTTTTTTACTTAAATGTATTTTTTATTGGTATATGTCACAAAAGCACATCTAGTAAAATAAGAAAAATAGACTGCTTAAATAAACGTCTTGTGTCGTTATGTTACACACATAACTTGCAGAGATACATAAATAGTTGCTTCGTTAGTTTGGAGTTTGGACATGTAGAAATAAAGAATGAGCAAAGTGTAACAAAGCATAAGTTATGCTGCAAAAGTGAGTAACAGAGTCGGCAAAGGACTCCTAAAACTGAAGTTGGGATGAAACTATAGATACATTGAAGTTAAGTATACCCTTAACCGACGATCATGTACCCGTTCATATATGATAATGATAAGTGAATGAAGCTAGCTCTGCTTACCTCTGAGTGACAGGCATGAGAGTGTATATCATGTTTTGTTATGTTTTATGTGTTAAATTGGATATAGACAATGATCTAGACAATTATAAATTATTTGTAGACCATTCGTCCTATGGAGCCGTCAAAGAGTCTTTGATACAGGAAAAGGAGGAATTCTCACTTATAGGAAGATTTATTGTAGGGAGAATTTGCCACTATTGACAAGGGATCGCACCTTTAACAAGTCTGGATTAAAAACGGCGTAGTCGCCTCTATTAACCTCTCGCTCCCACACTGTCCCTACCATACTCACACACGCCGGTAAAGACTGCAAAAAATGCGTTGCGATATGCGTTTTTCGGTACGTTCTATAATTTCAGTCCAACTTGTCGTTGGAATCAATGGTGACAAATTCCCATAAACTACAAAAAATTTTGTCCGGGTTTGTTGATTTGTAAGCTACGACGCATGCTGAAAGTTTTCTTCATAATTATTGTTGATTTTGTTTGTTAATAGTTTTGTTTAAAATATTTACATGCTATTCAGACATAAGTAACAATTTTTAAAAATTTCTTTGTCTGTCTTCGGCATGGCTGAACCGATAAACGTTTCCTTAAGTTTGTGAAATCTGGTACGAAATCTACTGGACGAAAGTGAGTTCTTGATGTCCATGTTATCACCACAAGAAACATCATGCTTTGCGTCACTTCAAATACCGTCTATCAACATCCACTGCTGAATGCAATACTGCAAAGGTGTTTTTGCCACCGTAGTTTGCTGTTTTGATTTTTTAATTGTTATCAGAAAAACGCTGCTGTCCATCTCCTCATACGACATCTCTAGCGCCTCATACGACATCCACATGACGACATGGAGTAGTGGATATTTTATACGCCGCTACACGGTCACCAACAGCCAATCACAAAGCAATATAGCAATTGACAGCGTCATTATATTGCAAATTTTCCACAGTGTGCGAATACTTGCGCGACTTCGACGAGAAGATGGAGGGCACGGTGGACGGCATGAAGCTGGCGCTGCCGGCGCCCGCGTGCGGCGCGGACGGCGCCTACACCGCGCGCCAGTGCGCCGCCGGCCGCTGCTGGTGCGTCGACTCCTTCGGCACAGAGATACCCGACACCTCCACCAACAACGCCTCCATGCTTGATTGCGAAAAGTAAGTCGTTGTTTGTTTTGTCAATTTCTATTATGATTGTATTTGGTAAAAGTCATACTCTTTAATTTTGCACTCTGGTACATAATTCTCTTGTTCTTTAAGAAACCATTTACTATTACACCCATTGTTGCATATAGGATTATATTTTAAAGAGATCTTGAAGTGGGCCCATATTTTGGCCATCGATTTTTTTAACGGTCCTTTACTAAATAAAATTTTTTTTTGTTTAGTAAAAGAATGTTTCAGGGAAGCAATCCATCCGCTGACTGACTAATTCTTCCTAAAACTCATAAATGTGTGTTTATTGCAGGGTGCGGTCGGAGTTGTCGTGCTTGGAGCTAACGTGCCGCATGGGCTGTGACTACGGGTTCGAGTTGGGCGCTTCGCGGTGCCCCACGTGCCGCTGCCGCGACCCGTGCGCCGGCGTGCAGTGCCCCAGCGGCCGCGCCTGCGCGCTCGTCGACGTCGCCTGCGACGCGGACTACTGCCCGCCCGTGCCCGCCTGTGAGTCACGCCACTGTTTCACTGTGTCACTGCGACTGCTGACAAATGCCGCTGCCGCAACCCGTGCGCCAGCACCTCTGTCTTACCGTTTACTGCTGCGACTAAGGTGGCCAGCCTCAAATTAGAAAAATGCGCTCTGGATTACATAATATATAGACGGATATTTTGTTCTTAAAGCATAACTACACTTTTATTTGAAAAAAAGTCTTCATCTTCCTTTTCATCCGTCAGTCCGTAAGTGTCTACTGCTCGTTATGGGCCCTTCCCGTGTAGACAGCGTCACGCTTGCACCAAATATGAGCATCTTTGACACTACTCCCCGTCGCCGATCTGAGTAAATTACGTCTAGCGTTAATAAGGTGGTTACACCGTCACCTATCAGAATTGGAAGCTATAAGATTATTCGGCATTTACCATAATCGTCTCTTACAACGATCACAGGACGAAGTAGGGTTTTGGATTCTCCAACGCTGTTATCACACGAAAAGTAAGTGGAGTAGAAACAATATTTACAATTAATTAAAACAACATGGTACCTCTCCCGCAGGTCTGCCGCGCAGGGAGGGCCAGTGTCCGTACCTGGTGCCGGCGACGGGCGCGTGCGAGTGGGCGTGCCGCTCCGACGCCGAGTGCTCGCCCGGCCAGCGCTGCTGCCCCACCGGCTGCGGCACCGCCTGCACGCAGCCCGTGCACCACACCGCCTGCCAGCACGCCAGGTGAGACACGCCCGTGCACCACACCGCCTGCCAGCACGCCAGGTGAGACACGCCCGTGCACCACACCGCCTGCCAGCACGCCAGGTGAGACACGCCCGTGCACCACACCGCCTGCCAGCACGCCAGGTGAGACACGCCCGTGCACCACACCGCCTGCCAGCACGCCAGGTGAGACACGCACGTGCACCACACCGCCTGCCAGCACGCCAGGTGAAACACGCCCGTGCACCACACCGCCTGCCAGCACGCCAGGTGAGACACGCACGTGCACCACACCGCCTGCCAGCACGCCAGGTGAGACACGCACGTGCACCACACCGCCTGCCAGCACGCCAGGTGAGACACGCGGCTCGTGTACCGTGCACCACACCGCCCGCCAGCACGCCAGCCAGTACGACCTTTGCCAAACATTATATTATATGACTTCCTTGAAGCGCAATATGACGAATTTTATTTGTTATACTAATGTTAAACACTCGTCTAGAACACATTTTCCCCAATTTTCTACAGTTACATTTGCAACGGCTGTGTGCATTAATTAATTATTAAATTACCGTTGCAGAGTAATTATTAAATTACCCGTACTTATTAATAAACTACCGCGCGCCAGTGCACACTATTCTTCGTCCTTCTAGGAATCAACAAGCGGTTATCGATATATATATATATATATATATAATAAGTGACGCACCGCACGCGTCTGTCTAGCGCACCGATGATTTATGGCACCGCGGGTAGCGAGTGTTTAACATTTAATAGATTCCAGTTAGGTTCTTTTTTTATAATGATAATTTTACTTATTTGTCTCTTCAGTTTACTCTGAAGAAGAGTAAAGAGGTTAAATATATTTTTCATTTCATATTTATGTAATTTTAATATACATTTTCATCTTAGGGCCTTAGCACTACATACCGCCGCCGAAAGGGGGAGCCCACCATCGTGGAGTTGGGTACCGGAGTGCAAAGAAGACGGTTCATACGAGAAAATCCAATGTCGGGAATCAGAAAGAGTTTGCTGGTGTGTGGACGAAGCTGGCAATGAGGTAAGTGAGAGTTCTACGATGTTTAAACGATTGCAGTGACAAAGTTATAAGACAGTCATAATCTAGACTTGTGTGATGTTGTGATATGTAGTTATTGGCTTTAGCTACTTGTAGTAATCGAGCCCAGAAATACTGCATGTAGAATTATAAACAGAAATAAAAACTAACGACCGTGATCATGGGTGCTGTAGCGCACCCGAAATGTCGGGAATTAAAAATAAGTTAATTAAACGCTATAAAATCCGTAAAAATAGTTTTATTCACTGTGTATTGTTCGCGTAAACATAAGAAATTATTATAAAAACTAACAGTTATTTTTTGGATACTAATATTTTGTGGGTTTTTTGGCTACCTACTTTTGATTAATCTCATTTGGTTATGATGCTTTATCAATGTTGTCTTCTTCAACAAATGTTTAGATGTTCTATTGTTTTAGTACATTCATGAAAATAGTGAAGAATTATTAAATATTTTCTACAATAAAAAAAATCAAAGGTGTGCGTGAAACAAACTAATTGAATAGACTACTGCATGTAATTTAAGCAAAAAATATCTCAAATTAAATGTTTCCAGATTCCCGGGACTCGGTCGACGAATTCGACGCCATCTTGCGACGCCCCTGCACAGTGTCCCGACCCCGGATGCAACGAAGAAGAAGTATGCGCTCACGGTAGACAACTTGATGATAAAGGCTGCCCCACGTGCACCTGTCGCGATCCCTGCGCTGAAGCGAAGTGCCGTGAAGACGAAACTTGCGAGCTGGTGAATTTGAATTGCGAGGTTTGTGCTCATTTCGTTATTATGTAGGTACCTTTAAATAACATCAAATACCTAAACATTGAAGTAATATGTATTACATACTAGAACAGGCACTGCGAACAAAATCTGTGCAACGATGCGGGGCACATGGAAGGAGGCACAAAGTACCTTTTTATGGTAAAGACTAAGTAAGGAGCACCCTTGCGCTCTAATGCGTGTTGCTCTCGGTGTCTCTTCTAGTATGTAGTACATATTACTTCAATGTTTAGGTATTTGATGTTGCAGTAGAAACAATCTATCACAATAATGCTCGGACTAACAGTGCGATTATGATACTTTAGTGGGAATTATGATTGGCTTAGTTTTGACGTTTGACTTTTGATTTTATTGTATTGTAAATGAATGCGTATCTATGTATTTTGTATCTTAATATTTCATTTAAGATTAGGTATAAAATATCATTATGAAAGAACATAACGCAGTTACGGAATGATATCCACCGGCACGCTATTCCTACCAGAGTTACCACATACCATCAACATCATAGATGAAGATGGGCCAAATTAAGTACCTTAAACCGACAAGCATGTATACATAGCATATGGATGACAAAGAAGTGAGAGAGGTGTGTTAGGATCGTGTTTAATTGAAGTTCGTATCTGCATTCTTTTCTGCTTGCTTAATCCTCACATAGGGATACAACGACATATCAGATAAGCAATAAATATCGATATATTGACGCCCAAAAATGTCAATATTTATCGATATCGAAGATCTGCTGATATACATAAAATATCGATGTTGAAAAAATCGAATACCCACAAAATCGGGTAAAATACTGTAACTGGCAACACCGATTGTCTAAAAAAATTGATTATTTAATCTATGTTAATCGAATGAGCTACGAGACGTTATTATTATTTGCATTTACTTTTAAATATAAAAAGAAGGAAATTATGGTCGCATTTAAAAAAAGAAGGTGGTAATGCCGTATGAACTCATTTGTAAAAAATTTATTAAAACATCTGGAAATACAAGCAATACAGTATCACATATTTAACACAATAATCCAGAAGAATGTGATGTTGACGATAAATCTTTGGATAAATCACAACGGTATGTCATATTAGATCCTCAGTAAATACTAAATACTAATTTATATGTGAGATTACATAATCTATAAACGCTTATATTAATTTGATACAATTAAAATGAAGTTCGGGATTTATATTAATTAAAAAAAATAGAAGAAATATCGATATTTGGCGTTCCAGGCCGATATTTAGATATATCGATATCGATATTTTTATACAACTGGCATCACTACCCTCAGGGTTACGGTTTTGAAAAATCGATGTGGCGGTGTCCACGATACAACCACACTTCAATTTTAGTTCTGAATTGTCGCTTTGGTAGTACCTATACATAGAAGTCATATGTCTGGAGAAACTGTCTGCGCTGCGATCCCTCTGTAATGTTGGATAAGGTGTTAAATGAAAAGAGCCTTTCTTTTTATTTAACACCTTATCCAACGTGTTACTCTTGTTATGACTTTAATTATAATATATAAGTCGTGTGGGCTACTGTACACCATCCTGATTTCGTTGTCGTCATTTTTCTGAATTGGCTCCCACTATACATTATATACGTGGTAGACCCATGCTGCCGCTATATTAATAGTATAGCTGTAGCACGAATGGGTCGACTCGACCGGGAAGGACCACGCTCTCACAGAATACTAGCGTAAAATAGCAGCTTAATGCTGCTGTGTTTCGTGTGGTGAGTGTAGAGAACCGGAGACCCTTTTTACTGGAAACGAGGCATTCTATCTTAGTTCTCACAGGTGACAACGCATCTGCATTTTAATTCGCAAACGAAGATAGATGTGGATGTTTATAGGCCACAGCAATCATTTACCATCAGGTGGACTGTGTGCTCGTTTGTCACCCTTATTCTATATAAAAAAAAAACTATGGAAGCACATTTAAAACAGTGAAATGTTGTTTTGTGTAACAGGGTTCAACGTGCACGGCGCTGGGGCGGTGCGCGCCGGCGCCGCAGTGCCCGGGCGGCGGCGAGGCGCTGCGCGCGCCGGGTGACGCGACGCCGCTCGCGTGCGGCCCGAGCGCCGCCGCCTGCCCCGCCACGCACGCCTGCCGCTACGCGCCGCACGACCCACGACCCGCCGTCTGCTGCCCCAAGCCCAGTCAGTTTTTCGTTTTTATTTAACACGACTTTTTTTAGGAAGACTTAGGAGGTGTAAGAATATCCTCTACTCCATATCCCGTGGGTATCATAAGAAGCGGCAGACAAATCACAAGATGAGTAGCAACGTCTCCCTAATCTCTATAAGTATATAAAAATCATTTTATTCATTGCGGTAGTCTCACTAAAACTCGAAAATGATCCAACTGATTTTGATGAATTTTTGGTGGGTTTGAGTAGGTCCCTGGATGATCTAAACGATTCACATTTAGACCCGGTAGGTGGCGCTGTTGTCGAAATTCAGAAATCACCCGTGCGAGGTCGGTGCGGATCGTTAGTAAAAATAAAAAATAAAATAACTGCTGTTACAAAACGTGGCAACTATAGCAAATATCCCCCTATGAGGCAATCTATCGGGGTTGTACGATTTTGTGTATCAGCACATGTGAACAATTAGTGAAAGTGATGAAATAAGTGCTCCGATAGTGATGTGAACCCCAAGTTATTGTTTTCGTTTAGGCGCCGAGAGATACTATCATCATCGACTGTCCGTTGACTTAAGCTATCGTTGTACTCTTATGCTGTCGGATAGCATAGAAAAGAGAAATGGGCGATGACACGATTCTTGAAATTTACCTATTTTTTTATAGGATAGGTGACAAACAAGCACACAGTCCACTTGGTGGTAAGTGGTTGCTGTAACCTATAGCCATCTACATCTCTCCTCGAGTAAGGATGCAGATGCGTTGTCACCCCTGAGAACTAATATGGAATACCTCGTTTCCAGTAAAGAGAGTTTTCGGTCCTCTACACTCAGCATACGAAACACGGCAGAGTTAAGCTGCTATTTTACGCTGGTATTCTGTGAGGCCGTGAGATTTAATATGATATGCACCAATATACTCTAAGCCTGTGTTTGGCTTAATTAGAGTTGTCAACCTCACTATATAGTACAGTATTCTTTGGCTTATTTATTAAACTTATAGTATTCGAACTTCTAATATAGAAGGCTATATGCTTTATGATGATTTAAAAAAAATAATATCAACCTACTACATTAGAAGCACGCTCCGTGAATAGAAGTTCGAAGCCTGGCTATGGCGTGAAGCTGTAAATAAAGCTTGAAGAAGAAATGTTTATATCTTTAAATAAAATATTAATTTGAAACTTAGTACAATATTATTTTTATTTATTTTTTGCAATCTATAATATTTTAACAGCCTCAATCCACGAAAACTCCATAAATAACACGTAGTGATTGTTATAATACCCTTTGTTCGTAGGAACGGTTTGTTTCGAGAGCAAGGACGAGGGTATTTGCGAGGCGGGCGCGGGCTCCAGCCTGAACGCGAGCCGCTGGCACTTCAACGCGGCGCGCAACCGCTGCGAGCGCTTCGTGTACCACGGCTGCTCGGGCAACCACAACAACTTCCGCACCAAGGACGAGTGCAACGCCGTCTGCCCGGGTATGTACGTAAGGCTATAGGTAATCTTACATCGGAATAATATTGTTACGAGTTTGGGCTTCGGGAAAATTAAAAACTGCCGAGTTAATTACCAAAATTGATACTTTAATTACAGAACACTAATTACAACTTAAAACCACAGTAATAACAAAACACAATTGTACTACTGATCACTTTAGTACCCAGTTTTATCGCTTCGAAGTATTCGCTTGTATCGCCAATTCAACACTGACCGGATCGCGGTCTTTACCGGCCTTATATAGGGCCTAAGATAATTTCCAAAACCTTCTACTGTAGAAACATCTAGAAAGTTCGAGTACTAACCGGTCCCGACTAGCTAGATGCCGATAGTTCTAGAAAGTTCTTCCATGGAAAATTCTAGAAGGATCTAGACTCTCCTAGTTCTGCTACTATATACTAGCGGGCGCTAGTGGTAACTAGTGTTGCCATGTACCAGGCATTAATGGTAGCGCACAACAATATGCTACATAAAGCAGACTGAGTTGCGAAGAAGAAAACATATTTGGAGATTATACTATGGTTGTAGGAAAGATACTCACGTACCCACACAGATTGGCATGATATGGCAAATGTTTGTTAAAACTGTGCATAGTCATATGCATGTACTGTTCTCCACTTTAAGATTAATTGTCCAATAGTGCATGTGTGACTTCATAGATATACAGTCAGATTCAGAGAGATTATTTGCTCCATAAGTGACAACCTTTTTGGTGATATATATTATTGTAATTACTAACTGGCAAACAGAAGTATATTTTACAGATATTCACGTCAAAAAAAGCAGTATTTTAGGCAGATTACAGCTTCTTTTTAACGTGAATATATGTCTTTAAATTTGCTTCCCATAGTGGGAGGCATTTCAGAAAACTGATGAATTATGATAACAAAATCGTGGGATACAGTTTAGTGTTGCAGCTACATTACTATCATCTACATACAAAATTTAATTATAAAACTCGATAGCTAAGAGATTCTTACATTGAGTGAAGACAATGACGCGCGCGCCGGAGAGAGAGCGCCGCCATTTTTAGGTCATTTCGTTACGTGCACGTATCCACTTACAACACATGCCCGTGTTTACAACACTCCGACTTTTTAAAAATTTCTACTCTGAAGTGAAGACGTTTATCATGCATAAATGTTACATAGGCAAACACTCAGACACAGCAGAATTCATTGTAGACCGTGTACTGTAAATACTTTATCCGTTCTTACACCTATCGAACCCACGACCCGCATACTGCGCTACCTAGCCGTCAGTCATATCATACTTCCTTAGCGTTAAAACACACAGACCAAAGGACGGTATATTTGTTGCAGCCCGATGATTTTATCGGTTGACACCGTTCAAAGAACCGTTACGGGAAAACCTGCCTACATAATGAGAAAACCAACCTGCACTTTTCTTACACGAAAGTCCGTGGGGCACTGATGAGGTTAACAAATTGCCGCTACTAGATGAATTCCTACGGCGATGCGCTAGCTTTCCCCATCAAGCAATGTGCCGAGATTATTTGATGGTAAAGCGAGTAACCAGCGACTAAATTCACTGTCAACATCAAGGTTATGACGCCCAGTGGTTAAACGCCGGCATTCAAAACTTTCCCCATCAAGCAATGTGCCGAGATTATTTGATGGTAAAGCGTGTAACCAGTGACTAAATTCACTGCCAACGTCAAGGTTATGACGCCCAGTGGTTAAACGCCGGCGTTCAAAGCTTTCCCCATCAAGCAATGTGCCGAGATTATTTGATGGTAAAGCGTGTAACCAGTGACTAAATTCACTGTCAACATCAAGGTTATGACGCCCAGTGGTTAAACGCCGGCATTCAAAGCTTTCCCTATCAAGCAATGTGCCGAGATTATTTGATGGTAAAGCGTGTAACCAGTGACTAAATTCACTGTCAACGTCAAGGTTATGACGCCCAGTGGTTAAACGCCGGCATTCAAAGCTTTCCCCATCAAGCAATGTGCCGAGATTATTTGATGGTAAAGCGTGTAACTAGTGACTAAATTCACTGTCAACATCAAGGTTATGACGCCCAGTGGTTAAACGCCGGCATTCAAAGCTTTCCCCATCAAGCAATGTGCCGAGATTATTTGATGGTAAAGCGTGTAACTAGTGACTAAATTCACTGTCAACATCAAGGTTATGACGCCCAGTGGTTAAACGCCGGCATTCAAAGCTTTCCCCATCAAGCAATGTGCCGAGATTATTTGATGGTAAAGCGTGTAACCAGTGACTAAATTCACTGTCAACATCAAGGTTATGACGCCCAGTGGTTAAACGCCGGCATTCAAAGCTTTCCCCATCAAGCAATGTGCCGAGATTATTTGATGGTAAAGCGTGTAACTAGTGACTAAATTCACTGTCAACATCAAGGTTATGACGCCCAGTGGTTAAACGCCGGCATTCAAAGCTTTCCCCATCAAGCAATGTGCCGAGATTATTTGATGGTAAAGCGTGTAACTAGTGACTAAATTCACTGTCAACATCAAGGTTATGACGCCCAGTGGTTAAACGCCGGCATTCAAAGCTTTCCCTATCAAGCAATGTGCCGAGATTATTTGATAGTAAAGCGTGTAACCAGTGACTAAATTCACTGTCAACATCAAGGTTATGACGCCCAGTGGTTAAACGCCGGCATTCAAAGCTTTCCCTATCAAGCAATGTGCCGAGATTATTTGATGGTAAAGCGAGTAACCAGCGACTACATTCACTGTAAACATCAAGGTTATAACGCCCAGTGGTTAAACGCCGGCATTCAACAAAATGCCTGGCCTTTTCAATACAGCTGAATCTACAGGCGCCAAGTTTAATTCAGCTACTTTTACTGCCTCTGTTGCTCTAACAGTTATTTCAAAAGATGATGTCAAGATCTGGTGTAGTTTTACTGATGTGTGAGGCAAGTTTGCCATAGTTAATTTGAGATCATTTGAAGGCATCAATAACTAATAAAAAGCTAGATACACAATCAGTGACAAAAATGTCCTTACCGAATGAACGCCCACTCGAACATTTGGGTGCGCTTTTAATTTGTACGTAGTTTTGTGAATACAATACATTGAAATACATTACATTAAAATTACATTAATGTATTTTTATTTCAACTAGAATTACATCAAAACCAAAGACATTTAAGTAGTATACTTATATATTTAAATCACTTTGGTCAAAACAATTGGCGACAGTTTTTAGAGAACTTTTGCATGGAATTGTGTATCTAGTTTTTTTACTAGTGATCGATGTTTGAAAGCAAATATTTGTCTATAAATTATCTCATTTGCCTATAAGTCATCTCTCTTTACCTACAGATCTCAAAGACTACTTACTATGAGCTTAAAACTCATGATTACTCTCGCAAATTGTAACATTATCTTTTAACCACTTGTTATTCCTAAACATTGGCCAGGCTACGCTTTATTGAGAGATTTGATTATATGACGAGACAGTCCGATAGAATGGCTGAGTGAACTATTGCACTGCAACATATCCCGAAAACGCCTAACCTAAATCATAAAGAATGTCGTCCGGAAGTAGGATTACCAGTGTGAAAGTATCAGTCTCCGATCCCAGCTTATTGCGTTAAATTTCTTTTAAGATAGCAAATCTTTTCAGCTCAAAAAGACCTTTGTCCATATTAGTGGATGTCTACAGACTGGTAACAAAGCCATCGTTACATTTTCTAATTCAGAGAATTTCTAATTCAGATTTCAGATAAATTGTAAAAAAAATAACCATAAGCAAAGTTCCTTCTTCTCCATTTATAGTTTAAAAAATAATTTAATCAGATTTCGTTACGTAAAATCGGTGCGTTTATTTATTTTACAGAATCCTTAACAGGCATGTAAATAATTAGAGGATACGATGAAATGAATCCTGGAATGATAATGAAAAACGAAGTGCTTTTGTAGATTTTTATTTCTTGTATCACTCTGCTCCTACTGTATATAAGTCCCTACATATTCGAAACAAAAGAAATGTAAATACTCAAAATTAATTATTATAATGAAATAAATACTATTTATATCTTTAACCCTAATAGTTTTAAAATACATACGAATAAATATTTTATTTTATTAATTGTAATAATATGTTGATTTTGAAACAGTGGACGAGATAACAGCGAAATTAACCGAAAAGAAGACCCGAGAAAATATTAACGAAACTGAAGGCATGTCCTTAATTTTTTTTTAATTTTACACGTTCACATGCAAATGGCTCGTACGATATTTCACAAAATGAGCACGTGTAAAATAACAGAAATTGTTTATAAATAATAACACATTATATCTTACGTCTAACATGTTACTAATAAAAGCATTTAATTAATTTTTAATTTTAAAAAAGGCATCAAATCATATTTATTAGTGGTTATTCTTGCATCGCGACTACATGGAGAATTAGCATAGCATAGCAAATATACAGGGTTACAAAGAGTAGACAAATTTTAAACTTAAGTTCAAGTATATAAATAATGATATTCCAGTTTTTGAAAATACGAGTAAATAAGGCTTCTACTTTACAAATTGAATGTGATTTATGGGCAACAACGTTTTTGCCTACCAATCGACCCTTACGAATGTGTGCGTACGTAGTAAATTCAGTTAAAATAATGCATTACACCGCGGTTTGAATTTAAAAGATAAAAAGGACAAAATGTTTGAGATTTTTTAAATTAATTTTTCTTCACCTATTGCCTACCTATATTACTTATTCTGAACCTCCTCTGCTAATTTGGCCGGTCGTAGCAAAATAACCCGCTTATCATTGGGAAATAATCGATATAAAAAATTTCATTAAAATCGCTTCTAATTAAGCACCAGAATATTTCACTAACAAAATGCTACTTTGACTAAAATCTATTTGTGCACATTACATTTTAATGCAACACGCATAATAGCGTCATCAATCACAAAATTTTAAAAAGTAAGTACTATAGTTAGCCGTTTATGCACGTTGCTTATATCACTAATAATAATTTAAAGTAAAATGATAACTGCGCAGAAAAATTAAGGAATACTGTAGTTTGAGGTTTTAGATCATGTTAAACTTCTCTTTTTATACTGTCTGCTTTATTTTTATTTTTTGCACGGTTTGAGAAGTACCACGCTCTCACAGAATACTAGAGTAAAATAGCAGTTAATAAATGCTGTGTTTTGTATGGTGAGTGTAAGGAACCGGAGACCCTTTTTACTGGAAACGAGATTTTTCCATCTAAAGTACTCGGAGGTGACATTTTGATTCTTATTCGAAGATAGATGTAGATGTCTATGGGCCGCAGCATCCACTTACCATCATGTTGACTGTGCGCTCGTTTGTCAACATTCTTCTATAAAAAATATACGAGACTAAGACACGGATGCAGTGCAAGTTAAGCGAAATACTAAAGACATTAAAAAGTTCAGTCGACGGCCTTAGTTCGAATATCAGTCCAATATTTCAAACCAATATTTGAACATAACAGTTAGCATCATGCTTTAAGTCCAGAGGTATTGTAGTTAACCTATTACAATTTATGAAAGAACACTATTTTTTATTTCTTTCATTTAAATTAAACGTGTATTTTGTGTATTGTATAGCAACATACAATTTCACAATATATTATGTTTCCTTCAGTGCTGACCCCGTGTGAACGTCTCCGGGAAAGGAACGAAGCAGCAGCGCAGAAGTACGGCAAGGGCACGTTCATACCGAGTTGCGACGCCAGCGGAGCTTGGGAGTCCGTGCAGTGCATGTCACATATCGGTAGCTATTTATTTACTTTATATTTATTACTAAATATATATTTTCTACAATTTCTATTAAACATAAACATGTAAATATTTATTACGTAATTTTTTATCATCGATCACTAATAAAGAACGTTTTTTATTAGTGATCGATATTTTTTATATAATTTTTTTTGTATCGATAGTTAAACCAAACCTTTGTCCTTGGAAGAACCAGCTGCAAACACAGCGGGAATGAAATAAATTGACTTAGAGATCATCGTGGAAACTGTTTGGCAGGGAGTATCAGGAGTTGTCTAGTGCTAGTATAATTTAAAATTAAAAATTTTGTACAGCCGACAAAAAAATAATTCTATGCTTAAAAACTATTGGCCTGACCTTGATCAAATTCATATGGGACCACATGTGAAGTACCAGCTTTATTTATTATTTATTAAGAATCATCGAAATGGGTTCACCCAGTAAAAAGTTATGAGGTAACACACACACAAAAAAACATGCAGTCGAATTGAGTACCGTCTCCTTTTTGAAGTCGGTAGAAAACAGTTAAACTTGGCAACGTGTCTAGTAAACAAAATATCTTATAATTGGTATTGTATCGTATTTTATGAAATTGTCCAATAAATAGATTAATGACTGCGTGGAGTGAAGTAAATAGAAAACATTTTTTTGTAACGCGACCTAACGTGATGAAACGCAATGTATGTTTACTCCAATTAAATCCTAATTGTGTGACGATGGCGCCGTGAATTTTAGATATTTGCCGTGTCCACTACACGGCAAATATCTTCGTAAGTGAATCAGTCACCTCATTTTGTCTTTTTGGCATTGCAAAAATCAACTAAGTTTATATTAATAGACTACAAGCTATACTTTAGTATTTAGTGTAGTGTACAAATATATTCTTTGGTGTTTCATACTTATGAAACACTTATATGTTTACAATAAGAATAACTCAGTAATGATGATAATCGAACGGACTTTTAGACGTGCAAAAATCAAATACAAAAAATACATTTTTATAAATATATATATATGTATATATATATATATATATATATATATATATATATATTTTTTACAGTTTAAAGAGCGTTATAGTGGCACTTGTTCCAAGATAACTGCCTATTATTTTTGGAACAGGCTACAGGAACTGTTATTTTAAAGAAACAGGCCACGTCTAAACCAGATGTTATTAGCTATGACCACACCAGTGCGCTTTCCTGTTCATCTTGCGTCTTCTTCTCATTGAGGAGGGCATTAAAAATAATGTCATTGTTTATCTCTAAATCTTTCAATATTGTGTTGTTCCATTTCTTCAAATAATCTTTCATCCAGATTTTCCTTTTCTTGCGACTAGTGCCGCGTCAATCTCTAACCAATCCTAACCGAGGCGCGTGAGGTATAGACGAGTTGCATGCGACAAGCGTACGAGTATAGGAGATAAGCTGCATGCGTCTTATGGCACAGCGCTTGACGCAAGACGTACTGAAGGTTGAACATGAAAGCGAAATTGAAAGCGCAGTGGTATAGACATAGCTATTCAGGGTGATGTGGTGTGTGCAGACGTGTGCTGGTGCGTGAGCGCGCGCGGCGAGCCGCAGAAGGGGTCGCTGGTGCGCGGCGCGCGGCCCGCCTGCAACTTCCGCCAGGCGCGACGCTGGCGCGCACGGGACCCCGACGACGAACGTGCCAAAGCCGACGAAGGTACCACACTCTCTTTCCTTGGTTATGGACTCGACCCGTTGTACTTTTGTCACTGTCATGGATTACAAAATTGTCCTTTATGATAATTTATTTAAAAACTTCTTCATATATGTGGATGCGTCACATTGAGAAGTTTTTATATATGTACATAGCTTAACCCAACAGATATTCGATGACGACAGTATCTCAAATTATGAACGCCTAAGCGTACAAAATAATTTGAGCTTTATAACATTTATTTCATCGTCCCCACCAATAGTTCACATGAGCAGACATTTAATACACAAAATCACATCACTGTTACGTATCAAAATCCATAACACAATAAAACAATAGCAACAACCCGACGACGATCATGCTTTACGTGATACTGCAGCTATATTAGTAGTATAAGTTGTAACACGAATGAGGCGGCTCGTCCGGGGAAGTCATAGAATACCAACGTAAAATAGCAGTTTAACACTGCTGTGTTTCGTATGGTAAGTGCAGTTCTTTATGGAGGATAGATATAGATGTCTATGGGTCACAGTAACCACTTACTATCAGGTGGGCTGTTACTCTATCCCTTGACGGCTCCGTGGCGCAGTGGCTTAGCAATCAGTTGTTGCGCTGGGGGCCGCGGGTTCGAATCCCGCACGGAACAAGTATTTGTATGGCCTACAAATAATTGTTCCGGGTCTGGATGTTTGTCCTTGTGCAATTTATGTTTGTAAACTGCCTCCACGACACAGGAGAAAACCCTAGTGTGGGGGTAACGTTTTTTAAATAATAAAAAATAAATGTTTCCGCCAGAAGGTACAACTGCCATATTAATTCGTAGCAGCATGTACACGCAGTAAGAATGATCGAGGTTGACATCAATACTTTAATACATATTGATACTCGATTGTTAAACGACATCGCTGCTTTTGAAGCAATTACCTAAATAGTTATATATATATATATATATATATATATATATATATATATATATTAGTTCGTTCGAATCCCGCACGGAACAAGTATTTGTATGGCCTACAAATAATTGTTCCGGGTCTGGATGTTTGTCCTTGTGCAATTTATGTTTGTAAACTGCCTCCACGACACAGGAGAAAATCCTAGTGTGGGGGTAACGTTTTTTAAATAATAAAAAATAAATGTTTCCGCCAGAAGGTACAACTGCCATATTAATTCGTAGCAGCATGTACACGCAGTAAGAATGATCGAGGTTGACATCAATACTTTAATACATATTGATACTCGATTGTTAAACGACATCGCTGCTTTTGAAGCAATTACCTAAATAGTTATATATGTATATATATATTAGTTGTTATTCTTAGTTGCTCACAGACTTTCAAACTGTAAACATGGCAAGTAAGAGAAAATCACTGTGTATTGACGAAAAAGTGTCTGAAATAAGCTTTTCTTTTTCTAATACAGATTTTTCTTCGTTCCATATAACGACAACTCTCTATAACGTCAAAATATGCACACTCCCCTGAGTGTTGTTATATAGAGTTTACACTGTAACTTAAAATTTTATAAATAACTATATAATTCAATTACAGTGTTGGAAGAGCTCATCAGACAAATGACATCATACCGAGTAGACGAATTCGAGGAGGAAGACGAGGAAGACGCTGAAGATATTCACATAGAGCCACAAAGCAGAGAGTCAGCGACGGACGTTTCAGAAGGCGCCGTGTTGGTGTCGGAGGTCATTGAACCCAGAGTATCACAGACTACGAGAGCGAATGACAAGCAGCTAGAAGTTGCCATAGATAAAATTGTTTTCAAAACGAAATGTCAAGTTTTATTAGAGGAAGCGGAGAAAGGTAAATTTTCCAACACTAAGTTTGAAGTCTATTTTTCAAATGCATTATTTTCATTATATTTTATTGTAGCAAAGAATGGTCATATGGGGAAGCTCAAGATCGCTCAGCGAGCTATGGAGAGGGCTATGCTCGGGGTTTCTCTGCGTAATAAACTTAGAAATAAGGATATCCGCAGTAGAACCAGAATGACCGACATAGCCCAACGGATTAGTAAGTGGCAATGGGCCGGCCATATAGCTCGACGAACCGACAACCGATGGGGAGAAAAGGTCGAGTGGCAGCCTAGTACCGGTTATGTGTAGGGTGACCCCCCACTAGATGGAGTGACGACCTGGTAAGGCATGCAGGAGGTCAATAGAAGCAGGTGGCTCGGGACCGTGCTTTGTGGCATTCCTTGGGGGAGGCCTATGTTCTGCAGTGGACTTGTGAAGGGCTGTAATGATGATGACGATGAAGCAAAGAACAAACATGCTTGTTCCTCAATCATGCCTGAAAGAACTGGAAAGATTCTAATGAAATTTAGATCGATTCCATGTGGTAGAATATGATCGTGATCGAAGATTGATCGACGTTCTTATGATAGAATAAGACGTAGGATACTTTTTATAGTAACTATCAATAAAAGTTGCCTTGTGGGGGCGCCGAAAGAATCCATCATTAGACATGTCGTCAGTCCTGTGATAGTCACCTATGAGTTCTATGACAGAAAACCTCTTATTGTGTCGTATAGAGTATGGTATAATCATTTCATTTATACCATATGTAAATTATCTAAACCGGCGACAAGCAACAACGTCAATCGTGCGAGTCATTTGGTGCTGCAATAGACAATCCACCTACTAAGCGTAACGATTAAGGTAAATTCTCCTTACGACAGGAGAGGCTGATGTCTTGTATGGATCGGTTAATAAGTATCGTCTAGTAGCAGTGTAAGAATATGTTTATGAGGTTTCATCATGCTTCATGTTTATATTCTTTCATTTGTCCCTGAAAAGTATAAAGTAATAATAAACGTGTTATCATTTTAGCTGCATGAATTTTAAAAACATAATGATCTTAACACAGTAAAGTGCACTAAGTATTTGAGGATACAGATGCACTCTCTATTCTCTCAATCTCGGTATGTTAAGAAAATGGTCACTCATTCATGGACTGACCGCGGCAAGTGCAACTTAATCTTGCAGATCTATTGATCTGCGCAGCTATTACTTAACCATGAGTTCCTCTTCTCTACGACTATCGCTGTAGGCGATGAACCAAGCTATTTAAGCTCTCGGCACAATGTCGTCGGCCATCAACCATGAATCGGGCATCGACCGTTGTGACTATCAAATACTATGGAATTTATACTATCGTTTTTTTTTTTTTTTATATAGGAGAGGGGGCAAACGAGCATGCGGCTCACCTGATGGTAAGTGACTACCGCCGCCCATGAACAACCGCAACACCAGGGGAATTGCAGATGCGTTGCCGGCCTTTTAAAAAGGAGTAGGCTCTTTTCTTGAAGGTCCCTAAGTCGTATCGGTCCGGAAAAATCCCTGGTGGTAAACTATTCCACAAGGAAGTTGTGCGAGGAAGAAAACATCTTCTAAATCGCACAGTGGTGGACCGCCAATCATCCAGATGGTGTGGATGGTATCGGGAGTTCTGCCGCGATGTGCGTTCGTGAAATTTGGCGGCTGGGATTAATCCGAACAATTCCTCAGAGCACTCCCCATGGTAGATGCGAAAGAAAATGCAAAGAGATGCAACATCTCTTCGCAGTGCCAATGAATCGAGCCGATCGGAAAGGGCTCGGTCGTCGACGATTCGAGCCGCTCTGCGCTGGATGCGGTCAAGTGGAAGGAGCTGGCACTGGGGAGCCCCTGCCCAGAGATGGGAACAGTATTCCATGTGAGGCCGAACCTGCGCCTTGTAAAGTTGCAGGCGGTGTGCCGGCATGAAATACTGTCCCGCTCTGCTGTGCACGCCAAGCTTTCTAGAGGCCAATTTGGCCTTCTCTTCCAAGTGACCACGAAACTGCACGTCACTCGATATGTCGACTCCGAGGATACCGATACTGGCTGAGGCAAGAAGGGGAGTGCCTTGAAACTGAGGAGATACGACAAAGGGGTTCTTTTTAGCGGTAAACGCGCAAACTTGTGTCTTCTGAGGATTAAACTGGACTAGATTTAGTCGCTCCTAATCCGAGACTTTGTCCAGCAAAGACTCGACTTCAGACACAAGTTTGTTCCGGTACTCGGCGACGTTTTCCCGAGAAATATTGGCCCGGCCGGTGTATAGAGCATCACCAGTGCTGTCATCCGCATAGCAATGAATGTTACCAGTTAGCAACATATCATTGATATGCAGAAGAAACAGCGTTGGTGATAGCACACAGCCTTGTGGAACACCAGCGTTAATAGGCTTGTAGTCAGAACATGCACCGTCTACAACGACCTTGATGCTCCGATCTGCAAGAAAGCTGGTGATCCAATTGCACAATTTCTCGGGAAGCCCATAGGAAGGCAGCTTTGAAAGAAGCGCTTTGTGCCAAACCCGATCAAAGGCCTTCGCAATGTCCAGACTAACGGCCAACGCCTCCCCCTTGGACTCTACTGCCTCCGCCCATCTATGGGTCAGGTAGACCAGAAGATCACCAGCTGATCGACACCGACGAAAACCGTATTGGCGGTCACTAATCAGCTGGTGATCCTCAAGGTACCGGATGAGCTGGCAGTTAATAATGGATTCCATTATTTTGGAGAATAAGGAGGTGATCGCGATAGGCCTATAGTTGGACGGGTCTGAGCGGTCGCCTTTTTTAGGGATCGGGTGGACAAAAGCTGTCTTCCATGAATATCGTGTCTCATGCGCGGTCGTCTAGTCTTCAGGAGCAAGTTTTATCATTGTGACTTGGGAATGTTACGAGCTTGGGGTTCGAGACAATTAAAAACTGCAGAGTGAATTACCAAAATTGACACTTTAATTGAAGAACACTAATTACAACTTAAGACTACACTAATTACAAAACACAATTGTACTACAGATCACTTTAGTTCGCAGTTGTATCGCTTAGAAGTATTCGCTTGTATCGCCAATTCAATACTGACTCGGTCGTGGTCTATACCGGCCTTATATAGGGCCTCAGATAGTTTCCAGAACATTCTACTGTAGAAACATCTAGAATGTTCGAGTACATATTGGTCCCGAAATTTCTAGTAGGATCTTGACTCTCCTAGTTCTGCTACTCGATACTAGAGGGTGCTAGTGGTATTTAGTGTTGCCATGTACAAGACATTAATAGTGGCGCGCAACAGGAATATAATCCGAAGTTCCGAAGCTCCGCTCAATCCCTTGGGGAAAATAGCGTGATGCTATGAATATTGTACTAGTATGACCGTGAGGCTGTGCCGTTGATTAAGTAAGGTTATACATTTATTTTGGTTGATAAATAGATACTTAGTTGGGTTCATAATGGCTAAAGGAGGATAATCTCAAGATTTTTTTTGTTTTTATTGTACTACAGTTTTATGTTGTATGAAAATCTGTCTGTATATTTATCTAGAGTTGGATTTAGAATCGTTTGGCAGGAATTTGAGGGATTAAGGTGTTTTATTTGGTAGAGGTTTGGTCCCCGATTATAATAATACCACTCACATTAAAAGGTAATGCACCGTTATCGAATAAATAAATAAAAACTATTATAACCTAAAACGCGTAAAATATGGAAAACGTATGCAATATTACTGTGAAAGCTGGATAGCGTACAGAATTTTATGTAAGTGCGACAAGGACGTAAGACTAGTGTCACATTATTCTACTGTCTATACTCTGTCAAGTGTCAAATAAGAAATTATTATAATATTATACTGTTTTATTTCTGAATTGCTTAAAACTGCCCAGAAATACTTGAACACCCAGATATACTTTCAGTTGTAATAGGTCAGAAGTATGTGGCGGGAGCGAAAGCAACCTGGCTTTATAGATAAGACATCTGATCTGATCGAATCTGTACTAAAATTGAATTAGCACGCCCCGACTCCACGTAGTCTTGTCTGCCCTACTCCTAGTGTTTTTGTAAAGCCATAGGCGCGGAACGAAAGGTTACACTACGCAAGGGCGAAGGAGCTGTCCTCCCTACTGCGCCGAAGCCGTTGTAGAAGTAACTTTGGGTCAATATTCCTGTGTAAAAAAAGTGAGGTTATGGTGTTACAAAAATATACTTTTTCGCACGGAGGAAAGGATAGAGGGGCTTTCCCTGATAGGGCACACTCCTGCTTCCTCTTCCCCCCTCGTGCCGGAGACGATAAATGTTATCATTTTGAGGTTAGGTCTATGGGATTTCCTTTTTGATTTTTCTCAAGAACAGTGTATTACCTTTTAATGGGAGTGGTGTCGGAAGTAAGGGGACGCTCACCCCCCCCCCCCCCCCTCCCCTCCTGCCAAATGAAGCTAAATTTCAACCTCCATCTATATTTATCTCAAGTTTTGAAAGTTAAATTTTGACAATTTATTAAACGATATTTTAATATAATAAAAGTTAGATGTCTATACTGAACAAAGGGATTTAAATATATAGGTATACTATAGATTGGGCATTGGGAACATTTATATACAAAAACAGAACATTTATAGCTAAAAATAGCAAAACAAAGCTAAGCATTTAAAACAACATTATATATATATATATATATATATATATATATATATATATATATATATATATAGCTATATATATAGCTATATATATAGCTGTTCCCCAGTAGGTGACGCTAATAAATATAACTTCGTTTTAGGAATATTACCGTTTCGATATCAAAGTATCGATAATGTTGTTTATGATTACTAAGTTTGAAATGCTTATCGATATAACAATTGGGAATATAAATGATTGTTTAATTGTATAAATCTATTTATCATGACTTCCATCACACGAAAAAAATCATATAAACTTTTTACGTCCCTTTAGTGTCATGAAATAAAATATTTAATTTCCAATAACTAAGAATCAATTCAAACAGCAGTCACTTTGGTTGCCACCTTGTTGGCATCTTGTATGTCTTCACTCGGTCTATTAGTTGCTATAATAATAGCGTATGATTGATCGGTCGGCGTTAAAGACACATCGAGAAACGCCAAATCCAATAAGAGAGCGCCTCTATGTTTTTAAATTCGTTTCTATTACAAAAACGTAGTTCAAATCTAAAATATTTTAGGAAAACACTGAACTTAAAAGCCGTTTCACGATTTTTCACGTTTCATCAACTGCAGTACTTAAAGACAATACCCACATCAATAAAAACTGTTATTTTAAGTTTTCACCTTATTTTCTAACTCGAGTTTAACCTACAACTTCTTGCATCTAATATCTTTAACAGTACAAATTGTTTTTAATGTAAAAAACCTATAGCCCTCTCCTATCACTGTAAGCGAGGATCTGTAATGGCTTTGTCCTTGAAAACCAACAAACAATGAAGCCTGGTATGTAAAAGAGAAGACTTGCTGTATTGCTAAACTTCAACACAGCAAGTATCCTCAGCATGCTCATAAGCAACACAGAAAATCTCATCAGCATGCCTAAAAAAAAATTCCCACCTTTGCTCCACATAAAGTAGGCTACTTAGCATAGTTGGTATGTGCTACTCATTTATGTTGGTATGGGTACAGAATCGTTGACTGGTTTACCTCCTTAAATATTGTAAAGGATTAAATCGGCATCTTGTATATTTTTTTATCGATAATCCCAATCGATAAACGTCGTCAATCACTAACTTTAACATTGTATATTGTAACATAGTATCTAAATAGTGACGTTTACTGAATAACAAGGGCCCTTATTACAATAAAAATAAATGTTCTAGAACAATCTACTAGAAATAATAAAATTAAATGATTATTCGGTAAACATATGTTATATTTACGATACTAAACCGAAATCACGTTCATTTTTTGCTCCATATCGTGACTTACAATATCTTAATACACAACCGGGCATATTTTCTTTAAAAATATTTTTTAAATATATGAAACGAATGCGTCTTGACTTTTTGACGATGTTACTAAGACTAAATGACAAAAATCGGAGATATATCCTATAGGACATAAGTTACAGACGACAATTTTGCTACTGATGTCCGGTCTATTACTACTACTACTACTACTTAAATGTCTTTGATACTGAATGTATTGAGTACATAAAAATGTCGGTATAATATCGACGAGGATAAAAAATCAATGTATTTACACACAGCAATTTGTAATTATATCTCTACAATTATTAAGTACAAAAATTTGTATAAAAAAAACATAAAATTGACAACGTACAATTATACTAATAATTAATTTAGTAAAAAATAAATGACGACTCCGTAGCGCAGTGGCTAAACGTTTGGCTGCAGCATTGCAGGTACGAGACTTCGTTCCCGCACTGAACAAGTATTGCTATGCTGTAAAATAAATAGTCTGCCTGTGGATGCTTGTTTTTAACGTTAGTTTTTTTTTTAAAGACTAAAAATATTTTTTTAAGACTGATTGGATTAATTTGCTTTTAAGTGTATTGAATACTATTGAAAGGGTAACAGTGGCTCCAGTGACCCGCCCTGCAGTGGAGATCAAACGATTAGTGACCTTCTATCCTCATAACCTAATACCACACCACATTGGGTTCGGGAACAACGAGGTGGGCGTGCCCCCGAAGTGTGCCACTCAAAGCACGTCTGTCCTCTCTCAAAATAAAGGTTAGATGACTAAGATTACGGGACCCTATGGAATGGTCACGGTCTTGACGGCCATCATCAGTGGATTGTATTTTCCTTTGAAGTGGAGTTAGAAATAAAACATCGATTTATCTTCGTAATTTCCCCTTAAGAGTGCAACATTGAAAACTTTCACTACTTTTTCCTATCACTTTCCCTACTATCTTATATCTTGATTTAAACTGGAAAACTGGTAGCTGGTTTCGAACTGTCCCGAATGAATTTACAAAATACCAACCTCCTATCCTAGTACGTTAGTTATACGTGAAAGAAAACCGCGCGCCGCACGCCATTTCGACATAATCTGACACTAATTTTTATCATTGCATCCTTACATATAACCCCATATCGTTATTTCTCAAAAACTGAACTTGTCACCTTCTCTTTCGCTTACGTTTCACTCCCGAAATAAGTACTATGTATGCAGCATTGATCGCCACAACCTCCTCGTGCGACATTTCTATAAGCAATGACTAGTGTGGCATGCAAAATGTTCCGCGACATATGGACATTCCAGGTAGTTGTTGAGCGACATGTTGCGCAACATGCCGCTCCTATTGTCCCCAAGTGTATCCAAGGCTTAAGTATAGTTTGTTTCGGATTGCCATCCCATCGAACTATCAGAGTTATGAAATAGAATGTTGGAGTGTATTTGTGCACACAATCGTACACCATAAAAACTTTTTTTACGTAGATGGCTAGTCTCCGGTGTTACCAACGTCTTTGATCGAAGTTTAAGATGATTACTTCAAATAAAGGTCCAAAAATGTATTCACGATAAACATATTATAATTAAAGTTGAAATCCCAACATATCTTTCATCTTCTAAGGGAAATATTGCCATGAATAGCCTTTTCTTATTATTTTTTTTTTCGTTTCTCACACCATCTAATCGGCAAGTTTTATAATACATATTTGATTTTTTAACAATTCTATAAAAGAACAACGGCTTTTTAGCAAAATTAAAAGGAGTCTAAATAATTAAAACATTTATATAAATGTAAACGTTTGATTTGAGATTTGACATTTGAACCTATTTGATTGCTCCCGTTTCGTACAACGTACATATAATTTTACTATGGAAGTGGCACCAGCCTGGTAAAGAGTATTTAAAATGATTTTTAAGAAGAATAATTTGTAATTTATATGGGATAAATATTATTTTATTCTATTCTACTTGAGGTGAGACTCATGTTCAGTAGTAGACTTTTATAGGCTGACTGTGATGGATGGATGGATTTTATTCTGTTGACTTGAAAAAAGTCTATTCATACGAGCTTGCCTTGAAGACACCCACATTGTAATTGGTTATATAGACAGATGCTGGCAACTTATTCCACACCTTTGCTGTAGTTGAAAATGACAGTTGTTTTTTTTTCAACAGCAGGTGAGGAAGGTGTGCGGCCGCGCTGCCAGGCGGACGGCGCGTTCGCGGCGCGCCAGTGCGCGCGCGGCCGCTGCTGGTGCGTGGACGCGGCCGGACAGCGCCGCGCGCCTGCACATGTCGCAGACGCGCCCGCGCCCGACACCTGCGGTAAGTTGTACTGTACGTTACACACGCACACGTCCAATTTAGTTTATTTATATAGATAAAAGCTGTGTTACTCAAAAATCGACATCAGTTTTATAAATGCTCGTTTTAAAACCTATATCATCGTTTTTAAACAGAGGAGACCCAAATCGAATCAGCCTTATTGGAGCTGGAGCTGGTCGGTGCTAGCAGCGAAGACGGTGAAAAGGCCCGAGGTGCTTTATCAGCGAGATTAACAGCGTTCGGAGCAAATGTTCCAGTGGCAATGGTCAGAGAACAGGGCGTGATAAGGCTGCGCGCTCTACTAACCGGTCCACGAGCAGCTGATATGGCTTTTCATCTGGAAAACATGGTAACCATGTTACAATTTTTTATTCTAATTACTTTTCAAATAAATAATTGTATTATGGTTGTATAATACCATTTTTACTGCAAGTGAACGAACGAGGCATTCCATCTTAGTCTTAGGGTGGCTTTGCCTCTAAGTACATCTCAATTTTAATTCTTAGATGTAGATCTTACATCAAAATAGCATTTAATCCAAGATGTAGGTGTCTGTGGGTTGCATCCACTGACCTCTATTATACAAGTGCGCTGGACAGACTACACCGTGACATAATGAGGCGATTTAATTTTCGCCATTTTATCGATGACAGCAGAAATGGGCGTCCACGAAACTAATAATAGAGATAGGACAGTGTGACAAACTATATCGATAAAATTCAATTCCCAAGCCTACCATTTTATTTATGTATCATTTTAATATAATGTCATACAATCAATATAATATGTATCAATTAATACTTATGTCTTAGACACAAGCTTTATATCTCATATAAAACAAAAATGAACGCCGAGTTAGTCTATCTACGTTTTTTTTCGTAATTATAGAACTTAGAGGAAATATAGTTTTATTCCGGGTACCATTAGGTATGTATGATTCATTTGAGAGATTTAAAAGGTCCAATGAGTAGAAAAAACTGGAGTAGGTAGCTACAAAATTAAAAAAATATAATTTTGAAAATAATTGTAATTGTAAAATTGAAAATAAAAAACCATTTATTTAGTCCTCGTAATAGAGAAAATCAATAAGCTGCCAAAATATTATGCCTATTTGAACAATATCTATATTAAAATTTTAAAAACTCTAAATTGCAATTAAAATACCATACCACAAATCATTGACATCATAATCAGTTTGCTTCAGACGCCAATTCACAATTTTTAATCCGTTTTAGTCACAGTTTTATTATAGAGACAGTTGAAAACCTGTAAATTAATAAATATTTGACAATTATCTGTTGACAGCGGGTTTCATTGTTGAAAACAGATATAGGTCGAAAAAAATTGGTAAAGCTGAGAACAAACTATCGGACGCGTCCGTCAGCCGCGGCTGACAGATGCGGCTTATTTCAATCTAGCCAGTACATTTAATACTACACTATGCAAACTATCGGTCGTAAGACGCGGACGTGTCCTTGGATCGCTCTTGAGCGTTCAGACGTCCAAACAGAATCTAGCTCGACGCCGTCTCGACTAACGTGCACACCACTAAGCCGCGTCTGTCAGTCGCGGCTGACGGACGCGTCCGATAGTTTGTTCTCAGCTTCAGTATTATCGACAAGGAACTCATCAACCCTATTGAATTTTATTGTTTATCAAAAATAGGTAATTTAAAGCAAACATGTTTGCAATTACATTTAGTAATATAAGCCTAAAACCCTTTTTACTGGAAAAGAGGCATTCCATCTTAATCCTCACGAGTGACAACGCATCTGCATTTTGATTCGCAAACAAGGATAGATGTAGATGTCTATGGGCCACAGCAACTACTTACCATCAGGTGGACTGTGTGCTCGCTTGTCACCCTATGACTCTGTTGCCAGACCCCCAAGTAGTTACACATTTCCTTAGTGACTACTTATCCAAATTGTTGACGTCGATAAATCGTCGCCACGTGACTTAACTAATATTACATTTTAATTTTAATCATGATATCAAGTTGAAGTACCTATATCTTTGTTGAATACAGGTTAAAAAAGAAAAATTGGCGGGCGCTCGCAAATCGGAAGCTGGTGTCATTGGAGCCGATGTGATCCGCAGCGAATACCGCTTAGCAGTACCGGCGCCGATATCACAACAGCGGGAAATCGTCACTGAGTCTACCGTAAGCTTTAAATTTCTTGACTTAGTTATTCGTGATTCTTCAATTAACTCTCTAGGATTTTCCATGTTCCCTGGGACTTATAACCGTGTAGTGGCACTGTTAGAATATCCAGTACCCCGTATAGTCTCATAGGTTGTAAAAAATTGTTGTAAAAGGCGATAGAGAGAAACTGAAACAGGAGATACGGAGCAGCGTCTTCCTAATAACTAAGCAAAAATTGCGTTTGCCAACTCACTTGCCAAGTGTGGCAACTATAGCAAATCAGTATTTGCCATAGTCCCCCCTTTGGCAATCTGTGGAAGAGGCCTATGTTCAGCTGTGGACATTTAATAGGCTGTAACAGAGTGTTCTTTAGGCACTTGTTGTTCATTATTTTGGATGTAATATAATGTTTCCAGAAAGGAAATATCATGAAAGTGATAGTTGTTTGACGGTGATTTGTTTATGCATTACATTGGCAGTTTTTTTTTTAATTTTGCAAATAGATTGGCAGAATGATAAAAAGTTGCAGCCTTTTCCAGTGCGTGTTGGCTCAAGAAATATTTATTCCTCAGACATGCAGGTTTTCTCACGATCTTTTCCTTCGTCATCTCCTTTGCAACAGGGCTGGCAGCACTAGTAGCAAACCTTTGTCGTCGAGCAGTCGTGTGTTGAAGGAACTATCTATTTCATTCATTCATTTCCTTCATAGCTGGCGACGATAATAGCGTTCCGAAATTTGTTTTATAGTACTTCAGAATAATTTTACTTTGACAATGACCATCTTATGACCAATATACTATAAACATCTTAAGATAGTAATAAAACTTTTAACATTTCTTTATAGTTTTTGAATATGTTCATTAAATTGTGTATTAATTCCAGGTATCAGCAGCTACATCCTACCACACGGCTCTCATTGTTTTAGCTGCCACGTCTGCATTTATCATTAGTGTACTTTGCGTGTTGGTGATGCTCTATCGAGCTAGACTGCAAAGAGAGCCTCAAAAAGCAGAACGTTTCCTCCCACCGGCTCCTCCAGTGTACGTCCTCTCAGCAGACGAAAAAGCGGAACTGGCAAGGGCTTTACACGTTCAAAATAATCCTTCGAACGATGATTCGAAAGTTTAATCTGTATAAAAATATCAAAGTTGACATTTACGTTACTCTACTCAAAAACACGTTCGGAAACGCGCCTTCTAAAGTTAGTACAGGTTATAAATAATTATAGGGTCCAAATAACTACTGGAGTTTTGAGTTACGTGTAATGTAGTCAATGAATGTTATTATTAACTTTAAGTTTCAGCTATGGCCGGAGCCGGATTAAAATACAACTTCATAGACACGTAAAAATATGAAGATGGAAAAAAAGAGAGTGCGCGAGACTCGGTGTCTCTGAATGGCTCAATCCAAATCTGGCGATGGCAATTGAAATGTATTTAAAAACTTCGATTTGTCATTGTTAGAATTTCAACTTGTTAAGTTTCGTTTAGTAAAAATCTAATCGTAAGTCAAAATATCGACGAATGTCCCTCGTTTTCGTCTTCCATGTTTCAGATCTTCATCCGCACATAAAAATAAAAATAAAACTGTTAAAAGAGAACCAACATAGAATTGAGTACGTGGAACTAAGCTTTGTTGTGTATTAATCAAGTGTAAATTCTGTGAGTGTAATATCTTGTTATAATAAAATATTTTTTATTTCTAATCATCTAATAAGTAAGTGGAAAGTTAAGTAGCCGAAGATCGTAATATAATTAAAAAAACGTTTTTATCTTTGCTCTATACTTAGATAACTAAGAAATAACAAAACGAATAAAAAACTCTTTTATTATTGTACAATATTTTAATATGAAATCTAGATAGATTTAATATGTTAATTCACTTTATCGCTACGACGGTTCTCTTTCGCACAGAGTCTAATATCTTGAAATTGTTTCTCCAAAAACTGGATAGGTATACATAATTTGCCTTGAATAAAGTGTGATGCTATACATCTTTTGTATTTACTGTTAATCTTCGATAGTTTAATGTTTATCTGTAATTACAATGTCAATATCCGTATTGGGCATTTGACATATAGTGTGTAGATATATCAATTGATGTAAATTTAATGCTGGCAATACTTGATCATGCAATTCAGCTCAAAGCGTTCGTCCAAAGCTCGTTCGAATCATAAATCTGAATCGAAAGACTGCGAATAACTAAAAACACAACGAACAAAATATTTTTATCTGTAGAGGACCGGTTTGTGTGTGTTGACCAATTCTATCACCCTCTTTGATATAGCGTCGATTAATCGCCGCCATCGTTAGTCGCCGAGCTAACGCACAAACCACCCTTCTAACATTGAGTATTGGGTTCGTTGGAGGGTTGATTTATTTGTTTGTAGCTGGCATTATATTCAGTCGTATATTTTCATTCAGTAAAATAACATTTCATAGTTTACTACTTTTGAGTATAAGTGAAAAATGATACAACTCATTTTAATGAATGGAATTCAAAGTCGGAGTATTATCTAGTAGATCTATTTTTAAGACAGCGCTGAGACGTGTGTCGATTATACACGACGAACGTCTTTACGCTTCTTTTAGTTCCTTACGGCAAGCCTAGATCTTTTATTTTTGTAACAAGAATTGTTCGTTATCAATTTAATATGTTACAAAGTTACAATATATAAATGGTTTGGCTCGACGTAAAACTAATCTAGTCTATTCTAATCCGTCATTACCGATGGTTGCTTCTTAATGTTATTACATATTATTACAACTATATTTTAATTACTATGTAAATATGATGCCTACTTTGTTTTAATTTTTTTTGTCTCAATGTTTGTTTTTTATCTGTATAATTTTAATTAACTGCTCCATCATTTCTCTTCTGCCCGATAGCTATTTGTGTTAAGAAATGAAACTGTATAGTAATAATATAGAAAGAATTTACTATTATATTATGTTTACTTACTTAATATATATAATTTTATATAAAAAGTTGTTTTACTTCAGGATTAAGGTCTCATTATAATAATGACCATTTACCTAAAATTAATCTAGAACCTGTGCGTGCGGCTTCAGCTTCGGTGTGTGTGAGTGTGTAGGTCTATCCACATTAGTAGATTATTATAAAGGGTGAAAAAGAAATTTTAAAAAATTTAAAGAATAAGTTGGGCTGGCTCCTTACTAAAACTAGGCCGATCACTGAGCACGTCACTACTATATTTTTTTACGATATCAGTGATGTCATATGGCTATTGTTTGTGATTGTGTTTTTCGACGGCCATGACTCGTCGCTGAGACCCTAATGTCTACTTTTATAAAATAAATGGCAGGAAATGTGAAAGGAGTACACAGCGGTGCGCCACCATGTCAGTCTTTTTATCGAGATGATAAAGGATTTGTATAAAAGTCTAGCTCAATACGAATTCTGACAAATTCGAATTCTGCAGAAAAGTGTAAAATAGGATCAGATCACATCAAGAAACTTATGTCTATTCTTTCATTGTTTATGTATCGAGCATTCAGACGAAGCGTTTTGGTTCTCATTCATAGACCTACACATTTAGTCCAAGCTAAAGAATTTAACACTTTCACTGTCCGGTTTTCAGACACAATACCAAGACAATAGCAATTACCTATATGTAGTGCACGGGACCAGTGTTGCTACCTTGCAAAAAAAATTATGATTCATCACTAGTTATGGTCTGAAATTGCCCCTGATTTTGGGATATTTTTAATGAAAAAAATCCTTAGAATTAACCAAATTATTTAAAATGAAATCACAAGGTAGGTAATAAATACATTATTTTAATTTCATTTTCATTCGCCGTATGGAGTCAATTTTGCGCAGACGTGTAAAAATACAACAGATTACCCCCTAATACAGACGCATCATTGAATATTTGTTTTGTTTAGAGTTCACCAAATTTGTCGGTATGCAAGGGTTGCAGGGGACGTGTTAAATGTGTCATATGTGATTGGACATTTAAAGGTCAAACTTAGAATGCACCAAACCATAGCGATGAACTGGGTTGGGACGTTGATCGATAAATTTGGGATTTGTTGATTGTTGATAAATAAATATATTGATTAATTATTATTTGATGTTTTTTAAAAAATAAAACAATGTATACATATATTTGTACATTTAATTTATAAATATATATTTCACTGATTTTTAAAATGGATGAGCTTAGTATAAAATTATCTTACAGAATTCTTAGGATCCGTCTTCCTGGATAAGTAGAGTAATCTTATGTTGATGTATTTTTCCATGACACTCTTAGCTAAATTAATGACATGATTATAAATTTCATGATCGAATTGGTGATGTTTTATTTCAGGAAAAATATCCTCATTAACGAAACTGCTTAATGTTTGTGTTACAAAACGGAATTTGTCTTTGGCAAACTAGCAAGTATAGAAACGGTACAGCGGAATCCAACAGCCTACTACGATTTTTCATAATATGAAGATTGTCTTCTGTTAAGTTTGACGCAACTTGTCGAGGGGACGAATGGTTTCCCACCAAAAATAGTGTGCTATGCTCAAGACACTTAACAGAAGACAATCTTCATATTATGAAAAATCGTAGTAGGCTGTTGGATTCCGCTGTACCGTTTCTTCATATCCACATCTTTTTCCTTTCGGAGCATTTACGAAACCTATAACAAATAGGTACCACAATAACACGCCACTATTTTTATAAAATAATATATCTTAAAAAAATAATTAAACGATGACCAAACAAATATCGACTTAAAAATCACAACACTATCGATACACGTGCTATTGTTAGACAAAGAAAACTATTGTAATTTACGTAATGAGTGAAAGGGACATTTCAAAAAGACATCAACGGGTGCTTAATTGTTATCACTGTGCACCATTAACTAACCAGTATAAGTTGATCTCCGGTGCATTTGCAATAGGTTAACGTGATAAGAATAGAATTTACTTACCGATGAAATGTCATGCCATCTTTTTCTAAAGTAGCTGCATAATGCTGCTGTGTTTAGTGTAATAAGTGTTTTATTTTACTAGAAACGAGGCATTCCATCTTAGTCCTTAGAGATGACAACGCATCTGCATTTTGTTTCCTAATCGAGGATAGATGTAGATGTCCACAGCATCCTCTTACCAATACGTGAACTGTGTACTCGTTTTTCACCTTTATCTATAAAAAACTAGTTGTAAAACTGTTATTATAAGATATACGTATACTTCTACATTTTATTGAACTAACCCCTAATATTTACCGTGTAGTGGTGGTGTCTGAATATTTACTACGCCATATCATCCTGTAGATGTCTTATGTGACGAAAAAGTGAAACAAACGAAGAGATGGGCAGTAGTGTCTTCTTAACAATAACTAAAAAAAACTGCGAGTGCTAACCTTGGTTGCGAGGCTTGCCTCGCAGCTATGAGGAATATCCTCCTTTTGATGTAATCTATGGGAAGGTCTATGTTGGGAAGTGAATTTTATAATCCTGTAATGAAAAATTAATAAAAAAAACTGGCATTCATAGGACTGCACGTCAGAAGTGAAAACGTCTTCCTTTCAGAAACTTGTAACATTATTTTTGGGTTTGTTAAGAAATATTTATTACAAATTATTTTTTATTAGAAATTACTTTTATCAACGAATCAATTATTGAATAAAACTATCAATTATTATTATCTATATAGTACAAATAAATACATATCTATTTTAAAAAATGTAATTAATTGGTTTTTGAACATTACTTTCATTAATTTTATGTATCTGAGTGTGATGATCACGCGAGTTCGGTGCTTTTTTCCCTATCCCAAAAGTGCCCAACGTACCTAAAGAAGTTTTCACTTCAAAAACATGTATGCATACGGATGCGGAGGTAGCAAGAGAGGTTTGTCAGGATCGTGCCAAATGGAAGTCCGCATTCTCTGCCTACCCCTCTGGGTGACAGAGGTGAGTGTTTATGTTAATGTTTATTTAATATTAATATCTTTCTAGGTATGTCTCGTGTAGCCATAACCAAGATTAAAAAGGAAAGACAGATGAATCAAGGCATATGGCAGACGCCACACAAAGGAAAAGGGTCTAAAACTGGCCGTCCTAAAAAATTAGGTTTTTAACATTACGTAAATTACTGAGAGAGCAAATACAAGACATCTCCAGGAGAGTTTTCAATTCATTCAAATTGGTTATACAAGTTGAAAAGAGTAGTAGGGACAGTAGTGATGACTCTAGTGTAAGCATCATTTCGTATAGGGATACAATGTTAGGTGTTGAATATTTAAAAAGTGATTTTGACTATGACTCGTGATAAATATGTCTTTGACTTTTATCTTCTTTTTTCTTAAACTGATGGCACCTAAAATCACATAATCTTCTTGATCGTTCCCAGTTCGTAGCATGATTTCTAAATATTGAAGATAAAAAAATTATAAATAAAAAAATCTAATAGATCTTTAGATCAAGTATCTAGATTTGTCAGTGGTTGTATACATTTTTAATAGTGTTGCATAGTAGGGTTTTTGAAAGTCCTTATTATTTCCCCATGTAAACACATTTTATACACAGATTATATATTATACAGAAGTACTCTGTAATCATAGACTACATTGCCACTTAAGGTGACACTAGTCGACAATATTTCCATACAAAATTCGGAGGGGTTTTACTACGCTGTTTGACAGTGTACATCCAAAGTTAAACATGATATCGTTTTGTCTCATTATTAAATTTGTCTGTACGGAAACAGAATAGTAAAATAAAATGTTATTAAAAAGTTACGGGCTACCAAAGATTCGTTTTTATTGCCAATTTTAACACAACTTTGGGCGTAAATTAGTAATAAAATAAGTGTAAAATTTCCAAAACGAAGTCGGTACCGACACAGCTCAATTATCGAAGAATTCAATAAATTTTATTCGTAATTGATTTATGCAGTGGTTTTTTCATAAAACCCCTTCTTCCAAAGGCCTTTTCGTATTTTTTTACGCGCGTATGTTACTATGAATTATCGTGCATCTCACTGAATAATGTTTCCCCCGGTGCGGTGCGGGAGGACGACGCTTACACACACATGCACGGGCGGTGACGCGCGTTTATTCGAGTTTTATTCGAAACGAAAAGTTTTGCTATTTTGTAATTTGGACGCCAAAGACAAAAGACAGCATGGAAATTGATATAATTGAAAGAGATGAATGATGCGTTTTGGACGACAGACAATATTGTAATATAATATAATTATAAAAGTAAAAAAAGTAAAGTCTATATACGATTACTATATAAAATTGCAACAATTTCATTGGTGCCGACGGGGATCGAACCCGGGTTGCTCGCGTAATGTGATACTTACGGCGAGCGCTAACCATCTGAGCTACTACGGCTCACAATGCAAGTGTTATAAATAAATAAAGAATTACAAAACAGTTTAATTATTTATTAGACGACTCTTGCGGCGGACAAACAAGGTACATTATGTGGGATTTTCATAGGTACCTACTGTTATTACCTAGATACCTACAACCTACAATACAACAAAATGTCACAAAACGTCACCGCGTCGTGGCCACAAAATTGTAAACTTTAGGTAGGTACGTCAGTACTAAGAAAACAATCTTGATGGGTCACTTGTCTTGATAAAAACCTGTGTTTACATTTAGTGATATTGAGTATATATAAAAAAGTAAGAAGACAGGGAAGTATTTTTGAAAACAATTTATAGGTAGGCAGAACTAATTACAATTACCTATTATCTAAATATTATAAATGCGAAAGTTTGGATATTTGGATGGACGGATGAATGGATGTATGTTACTCAATCACACCAGAACCGCTGAAGGGACCTGGATGATATTTTGCTCAGAGATAGGTTATAGTCTGAATTTTATTATTTTTTTATTTTTTAAAAAAGTTGTAAAGATTGGGAGTGTGTCGACGAGGGTTGCGTACCTTATACTCAGAATCACCAAACGGTATTCGCCGAAGGTCATACGCACCAACCTCGGCACACCCCGATGAGGAGTTGGAGGAAATGTATGAGGATATTCCACACTAGGATTTTCTCCTGTATCGTGGAGGCAGTTTACAAACATCCAGACCCGGAACAACTATTTGCAGGCCATACAAATACTTGTTCCGTGCGGGATTCGAACCCGCGGCTGCCAGTGCAACAATTCATTGCTAAGCAACTGCGCCACGGAGCTGTAAATAACATATATGATACCGTTTATTCAGGTATTTCGTTCCCGTTGGATAATTTTTGCAGTTATACACGTTCGAAGCCGAACTCTTGAGTGATCGCTGCATGACCACTCGGGAAAAACTAAACATAATAAAGTAAGCAATCTATATTAGGTATATAGAGCCACAGAGGTATAATATGAAGCGATAAAGCAGCGCCTAATAATTTCGCGGTTTCACCCGCGTCATCACGTGTCCGAGATGCGTGGCATGACATGACACCTAGTTCAAGCATTTTATAATTGCAATCAAATATATTATTTGATAATAATGTATGGAAAAATTGTCATAATTAATGGAGTACTTTTATTTTATCTGTCGGCATACTATGCGCGGTTTTATCCAGTTTTAAAGAAAAACGTACACGATACATGAAAGTGTGTAGGCAAGAAATGATTCTTGATAAATTTGCTATCAACCTCTTATACTTATTAATCAATTAAACTTTCAAAATACCATAGCAACGTGAAATGAAAGAGTTCAGAAATAAAGATGTAACTAATCATTGTTACAATCACCTGGGAGATAGATAAAAGCACTCAGTTAATTTTGAATTTATTTTAGCTACCAGCTGTTCCCCGCGACTTCGTCCGCATTTAGTTTAGGGTGTTAATTTTGTTGCACGGACACCTAATAATTTTTCTAAAATTTAAGCAGTCTAAGTTACTTCTTATAACATGAGCTATCTACTAGTGAAAGTCCCGTCAAAATCGGTCCAGCCGTTTTGGAAATTAACCGGAACAAACAGACTGACAGACATACAAAAATGTTAAAAATTATGGTAATGTTATAAGTAGCGTATATAATTTCATATGCAATTAGTAAAAAGCTGTTATTTTGACATTACAAACAGACACTTCAATTTTATTTATTTGTGTAGATATAGATAATGATTGAATTAACGGCTAACCTAACCTCGCTCATAGAAGCTTTCAATACTGGCTTCTCAGTTCGCACCGGGCTAGGCTAGGGGTTATGCGTTGTTTGCGCGTCAAGGCGAAGTATTGAATTATTTTAATTTTACATTATCTCTTAACCTATGTACTATATAAACATGGTATAAAGAACGAACTTTATCTTCAAAAAATTGTCTTGATAATGAAGTAACTTTCGTTCGTAAGGATAAATATGTCATGCCTAATAATTAAAATTTCATTTTTTTTTGTCAAAATCAAAATGCCTAATTGTGGCTTATATATAAAAAATAGACATATGGTATCGCGGACTTTTTTTAGACGGAGTAAAGATCTATATTTTCTGCTTTATTATATTAGTATAGATGTTGCATCGTGTTCGTGTAACTTCGTTTTTGTTCAAACGGTTCTGAATGCCGTACGAACAAGACATGCGTGAATACTAGTGTCGATATGCTCATCACTGATACTATCTCTGTCGGGCACGATGCCAGGTGAGACAGCGTGCTTTTTCGCCGCGCCCACCAGCGAGTTCGAGCCCGCGACTTGTGCCACCTTAATATTACGTGCGGTAGGAGCATAGACTATATCTATGGGTAGGAGTTTCGTAATGAAGCACAAAAGTCTGTTCCGAAAGATCCATCCTATTTGATGAAAAAGTGTAAAATCACATTTTTAGTAATTATTTTTTTTTTAAATTTTCTTTAAAACCTTAGAAACCAAACACAAATATAATAAATATAATTTAATAAAAGTATAAAAAACAACTTTAGACGAGCTTTTAGAACCATATATAATATCAGTTCCACAGATATCTTATTGTGATTGATTTTTTATCGAATGCAATGAGTATATTATGCATTATAAATCGAGTCGAATGTATCCGAATAAAGTTGAAATAAAAAATACCTAAGAACACAAAGCCTCGTATCTGCTACACAGAAATAAAAAAAGGCTTAAAATGTCATTTTCCTTTTGACAGTTTTGTGACAGTCGTTCGGACCGGCCAGAGGTAAAAAATTATTTCAGAATGAATCAAGAAGGCGTACTTGTTTGTTGCGCCGTATGCAATCAGAAAACTCATCGACGGTGTGCCCGTTGTCTGAATATTTATTATTGCAATACGGAACACCAACGACAAGATTGGCGAAGACACAAAAGTGAGTGTGTTCCCAAATTCCCAAAACAGGGATCGCATAAAGATACTGGACGTTCATCTCCCACGAAGGAAGAACTAAACAATGTAGGAAAAAAAGAGATTATAGCAAGTGAAGAGCAAGAAATCAAATCTATAAAACCGTCCAAACAGGAGGGTAGTGAAATTAGACGAATAAAAAAATCTAATAAGAAAAACGTGAAAAAAGAGGGTAATACGCAAGAAAGCGAAAGTTTGCAAATTTCTAAGTCAGATGTTCAAAGTGTAGACAGTAATTTAAAAGATGGACCATCAACTTTAAAAGACGGTGTCATTTCTAGTGTAGTGTATACAAATGAGGACTTGACAAAACAAAGTGCGATTATACATCAAGGTTCGTCGGAACAAGAGATTCTGAACGAGTCTGCTCAGCAGCTAAGTACAGTGGATTTTGCTACAGCAACTACAAATGTCCTAAAAGCTGTAAATAGAACCAATGTGAAAATGCCACCAATTCCTGTGTATGTGCCGGAACACCATTTAAAAATGAAGGAATACCCTGAGGCATCACTAAAGGGGAGTGAATCATTTATGGTGAATAAATACTACATGGACTCTAGTGACCCTAGCTATGAAATTTGTCAGAGGGTAATCAGGGATATGACTCAATATGGTGTGTGTGTTTTGGACAATTTCCTTGGTAAAGAAAGAGGACTTTTAGTGCTCAATGAAGTACTTGAAATGTACAGATCTGGCATATTTACTGTGAGTTTAATTTTTTTTTCTCTTAATATTAACAATATGTTTTATTTAAATAAAACTGAAGTGACAAATGAACTTACAGTATACCTGATGGTAAGTGGCTACGACAGTCCAATTTCAAACAAATAGACAGAAGACTACAGATGTGTTGTCGCCTCTGAGGACTTTAATGGAATGTCTCACAGCCTGTTGCAAAACTGGCTAACTATACACAGGAACACAGCAGTGCAAGCACTTCTATTTTGCAGCAGCAGTAAGAGGTAACCCACCTGTAGATTTGTCACAGCATTATAATAATAATAATGATTTTTAAAACTGAATACCTACCTAATTGAAAAATAAATGTAGGTACATATGAATAAAATAAGCTGATAGATAATAGGCTAAACAAATTAATTTTTGTTTTTGGATAAGGGTGACAAGTGAGCACACAGTATACCTAATGGTAAGTGGTTGCTGTGGCCCATAGACATCTACATATATACCTCTTTTCCATTAAAAAGTGTCTCCGGTTCTCTACTGTCACCATACAAAACACAGCAGCATTAAGTTGCTATTTTATATTGGTATTCTGTAAGAGCATGGTCTTTTTCCGGTTGAGCCGACCCATTTGTGCTACCACTATACTAATGATTTCTTATATTTATGCAAACACTACACATTTAAATAAAACTAATTTTATGGATTTTATCGTGTATATTACTATAAGTGATAAAATCCTTAAAATTTGTTTTATATAAATACCACTATACTATTTATATATAGATGCAGTGTGACTATATCACATATAATGAACTATAATATATTATAATACTAGCTCGCCAGGCAGACATTGTTCTGCCCTTTCCAATGACCCTTCCTATAAAAATCTTTAAATTCGCAATAAAAATTTTTGTCATTTATCGGGATAAAAACTATCCTATCTCTCAAGTTGGACCAAAATACACACAGTGTGCAAAATTTCATTGAAATCAGTTCAGTAGTTTAGGAATCCATCGCGGACAAACAATGTAACACGTAATTTTTATATATAAAGATAAAGACAAAATATAATTATTACAGTCTAAAACATGGCAAACAGAATATAACATAACATAAACACTCATGCCTGTCACCCAAAGGGGTAGGCAGAGACTACGGACTTCCATTTGGCACTTTCTTGACACACCTCTCTCCCCTCCTTTACATCCATATACTTACACATATATGCTCATTGGTTAAGAGTACTCTTAATCTGGCCCATCTTCAATATATTGCCAATTTGGTCAATAAACTTTCGTCCAGGGCATCCCTTCCCTTCTGCCGTTTACTTCTGCAACATAAATTTGCTTTGTCACTCTTTTCTCACTCATTCTTACTACATGATCAAACCACCGACACATTCTGTTCTTAATCTGGTCACAATATATCATGCAAACCACACTTTTCTCTAATTACACAATTTCTCAACCTGTCATTCAGATTCAGCAAACAGAATATGTTGGCACATAGTAAAAGAATCATTCAGCCCATTTCATCCCTCAAGTGTTGTAAAAGACGACTATGAGAAACAAATATCACAGTGATTAAAATATCTGGCTACTTTGCTACATGTCCTGGAGTTAAACCAAATTTTTATTGTAATTACACTTATTCCTAATTTAAATCTTATTTAACCACCAATCTTATTTTAGACTTTATTTAGTACATGGGCAAATGAAGGCATCCACAACTTTTTCTGCCACCAGGGTGGCACTATTTAAAAATTAGGCGTAATATTTGACAGATTTCATAGTAGAGAAATTAATTTGTTAAAAAAATGTAAAGATTAATGTTTCTTTCTGTACTATTAGTTGTATTTTGTATTAATTAGATTAAAAATAAGTAAACTAAACCACAGATATTTATAAAAGTAGAAAAATTAAAAAAAAAAGAGTTAAAAATGTCTAAAAAAAATTAATGAGCAAACCACTGAGGCTTTGTTTTGTGTATTAATATAATACTCTAGAAACTGATAAACTATTATTTAAAACTAACTAACATTTAAATGACATTGTGTAACAAAAAGCTTCATCTTAGTGTCAACATCGACATCAGGTGAGGAGAAGATTATTAAATTCAAATTCAAAACGTTTACTAGGAATATAGGTTGATACAGTTGGTGTTTACATAGTTTATCACTTATAGTACAAACATTTAGTACAGCTATATTCCACCATTTGGCATGCAATATTCATCACAATTTATTATTTTAAATAAAATTACTTAAACATGCTCTAGTTATAATTGGAGTTCACATGATACATAATCAAAAATAATAGCGATAAGTCAATTTAGATAGTCTTATATAAGTCAAGTCAATTTAGTTATTCTGAGTCATGTAACAGTCAATTATTCAATTTCATATTTGTCTTCGAGATGTTCTTTCACACTGTAGTATGCCCTATTAAGGCGCAGGTTGAGCAAAATGTTGCGCTAGTCGTTATTTGTGTGGTTTTTAAGAGCTATCTACTTTTTATTTAAAAGATATATTAACAAATAAAAAACACATATTTCTACATAATCTTGATTCCATAAAAGCTAAATCCAATTTTTTTTTAAAGGAATAAATATTAATATAATCTCCTTACAACGAAACCACATAAATGTGAAATTATTATTGATAACATGCATCTCCTCGTAAAGTAAGTATTATTTTATTTTGCGATTTACACCAATGGATAGGCAATTTATTAATGAACATTTCTATAGTAATTTTTTTTTCAAACGACCAAAATTTGATTTTATTAAGAAATTATTTTAAAATCTGGGCGTATTCACTGCCCACGGGCTTGCTGGAGTTAGTAAGCGATGAGCTCTTACACGTGGAACCCGTGTCGTTAGAACGTCAGCCAGCGCACACGCTCATGTCATCTTATCAGTCGATAATATTATAATATTATTACTTATTAGGTTATTTATAGGTAGTATTATTTGTTTGTTTTGGGTATAATTTTTCGTATTAGTTATACATATATTTGTTGTGCTTTTTACTGCGCGATGAAGCTTTTTGCGTGTATTTTCTTTGAAGTAAATGCAAATAAAAAAATGAAGCACCATTAGCATGTAAGGTTCGAATCCATGATTAACATTTCGACAAATATTATAATTTACACTATAAAAGGCTAATTCAATATTATCAGTATAATATACAGTTAAAAATAATCCTAATACTCAACCACAATATCTTATTAGGTATAGTACCACCTCGTTGGTCTAGTGGCTGTAGTAGTGCGACTGCTGATCATGAGGTCTCGGGTTCCAATCCCGGGTCGGGCCAAAAAGTCAGTTATGAAATTAGTTTAGTAAGTATTATTATTTTTGTAGTATTATTTTTTCAACATCAATAAACTAATTTATGGAAATACACACAGCATACAACGATAAATGTATTTTAATTTTTTTATTCGGTATATTAGTTGCATTATATTAGAATTATGTATTTTCATATATTATCTAATTATGAAATTTTATAATTAATTATATATTAAAAATGAAGCATTGAAAATTGTGAGTTTAAAAGATACCTATTCACTATAGGTAAATAAATAGATAGCTCGCCTTTTGTACAAATATTTGGTGCAATAAACAATAAATAAATAAATAGGATGTTTCGCAGATGTGTTTTTGATTATTGTTAATTTTTCGTGTCACGTATTGAAAAGTAACATATCTACCTACTAACTTTTGAACTGAGCACCTTGTTACTTAGCCTGCTTATTACTTATGCTGGCAGACATTATCCTCACCCCAATGATTGATGAGGTTAAAAATCAATTTTATTTCTATATACGTAATTATATTTATTTATACATAAGGGTAACTTTAATAAAGGTAATACAAAAATCAACAAGAAGTATAAGGGTTCAATCTTTCAATTTCAATTGTAATAAAACGTTACCCCCACACTAGGATTTTCTCCTGTGTCATGGAGGCAGTTTACAAACATAAATTGCACAAAGACAAACATCCAGACCCGGAACAATTATTTGTAGGCCATACAAATACTTGTTCCGTGCGGGATTCAAACCCGCGGCCCCCAGCGCAACAACTGATTGCTAAGCCACTGCACCACGGAGCCGTCGCCGGGTTATAGCTAAAGTGACCATACGTCCCGTTTTGAACGGGACTGTCCCTTTTCTCGGTCAACTGTCCCATTGTCCCCAAACAAAACTCCAGGACCCAAAATTGTCCCGTAACTCGTTGGATGGAAGTATTCAAAGTCAACAATCTTCAACATAATTTTTTTTAATGGAATATATTTTATGTCTACCTGGTACAAATGCTCCGGTAGAAAGAGTATTTTTTTATTTTGAATAAATTGTGGACGTCTGAAAGAAACACTTACGGTTCCAGTTCTAAAGGCGATGTTGTTAACAAAGATAACAATAAAAAAACTTGAGCAGAATTTTATTCTTATTTAAAATCATCACCAACTTTATTAAAGCAAATTTAATCCACTGACAAATGTAATTAATAATTTAAAAAAATATGTTGCAATTAATAATTACCGTCTATACCGAATATAATTTTATATTGAACACTAATTGTATAAAGTTATAGTTTTTAGAGTATAAATAAACCCATGTCCTGTTTTGAGTTAAAAAATACATGGTCAGTTTAGTCTTTTTAGGTAAATTTAGTTTTAATTTTTTTTAGTTTATAGTAAAAAGTAGGTATATTAGTACCTACTTAGATACTTTTTACCGAATTATAAGTATAGAACACCTTATGTACTCAATTATTTTTTGAAAAAGAAGAAAAAACAAGCAATAAATAATATACTATATTTTAGCAAAAAACTATAGCTTAGTAATACTAATTATAACTTAGAACATAATTGAAAAACTCATAACTGACTTTTTGGCCCGACCCAGGAAACCCAAGACCTCATAATCAGCAGTCTCACTACTACAACCACTAGACCAACGAGGCAATACTATTTTTATTTTTTTTTTTATTTTTTTCTTATAAAAACGTTACCC